TGCTTATTTATGTCAATTAAAGAGCAATGTGACAAGTAGTTCTTTGTAGCAGCTGGCTTCTCATGTGCCCAGCTCAGATTTGCTGCTCTGTTAGAGCAGTGTCTAGGGTAGTATGAGCCCAGTTGCTGCTGATTAAGGATATTTGCACGTACAGAATAAATTCAGGAGTTGCTCCAGAGGTTATGCCCCATTGTGCTCAGAAGTTATTTTACATCAGGGTGACTTAAGTCATGAGGAGCAACTGTGTGAGCACAACTTGGCTCAGAGATGCCTTTGGAATATTCTGGACGTCTCACCATCCTGCTGTGTCCCTGTCATGTCCACCAGTCCTGTTCATGGGTCCCACACACCAAATGTTACCATTCAAGCACTGGAGAGCTGCTGAGTTCTGCCTTTTGTGTCTGCAAACACTCACAGTTAATAAGCCTGGCAAGTGGGTGGGGAAGCAATTTCCAGCAAGCTCTGTATTGTATCCAGCTATTATACTTGCATGTGACCCTACACTAGGCTCTTAAATTCTCTTGTCCTCTGGACTGAGGCAAAGATGAATTCCTGACACACAGAAAACACATATCCCACATCATCCTGTTCACACAACAACAAGCTGGATGGCATAAACCAGCTTTTTCTTGGAGCCCATCCACAGCAAAACAAGAGATCAAGGAGAGAAAACCCATGACTCCTGGTAGGAGACGGCCAAGACAGCCAGGAGCATCTCACCTCAAAGGTGCTGCCAGACAAAAGGGCTGCAAAAATCTGAGCCAAGGCCCCACAAGGGGTTGGCTGCTGGCCTGAGAGCCCTCGGGGAGTGGTCACACTGCAGAGCAGGCTAAGCAGCACTGTGTACTTCATTTAAGTGTTTTGTCATGCCCAAGGACATGTTTTTCCTTTTATTGCTCCTGCAGAACACTGACACATAGAGCAGAAACTTTTCATTCTGAGTTCTCAGTTTGCTGGGGAGGGTCCAAACAGTAGCATCCATCAGTGAAAATGCTGCCTTTCTTTCCTGTTGGTCCCTGCACCAGCCAATATTTTAGATCTACAGCAACTGATTTTGCATGATTGTCCCTTCTGGCCCCAAACTCCTACTTACCTGCCATAATGTGACCAGCCCAGAGCAAATTCAAAGCAAGCAAACAAGCAAAAAAAAATAAAAACACCCAACAAAATAAGCCTCACTACACTGTCCTTATGAAGAACTGCTCTTATTGTCTAGTACAAGGAGTGTGATGCATTTGAACATGCAGAGAATTAATTCAGAAAATTGGTTTGCTGTCAAGTTTATCTTTGTAAATGTGAGCAATTTTTACTGACAAACTCATTTGGATATTATTTTTTCAGTGAAATCCCAGCAAGGCCTTCCTTATGTCACCATAAATCTTAGGAAGCTTTCCTTTGTAGTAAAACCTTTGTCACAGTATATTTGCAAAACTGTTGTAATCGATATTGCAGAAATATATGAAGTATAAACCAAGCAATACATTGTAAAGCACCAATTACAAAACACTTTCCTATCCTCTTGAATGCCTGAAGCACATTGCAAAACTGTATGGATGGCACAGTGAAGGTCAGGCATGTTGACACATGAACATTTTAAATATAGAAAGTGCTGTTAGAGGTGATTACTTGTTGAGGTCTGTCTCCCCTGTTCCTTGGCCTGCACTTACTTTGTTTGATGAAACAGCCAGAGTTACTTTTCTGATCAACAGCAGCACCACACATCTCCCTCCATCCTTACAGTTTGCTCAAGCAGATCTGTTCTTTGCTGTAGCACCAGGTTCCTTCCTCACCTCCATTTTCTCCCATTTATTCTGATTGTGCTGCTAATGAGACACCTTTTTCCTGACCTGTGGCCTCCTGACTGCCTCATGCAGCCCCTGTGATGTTAAATTAAATAAGGCATAGCAGCAAGCCAGCAATCAAACTACTGAAATCAACCTGTGCAAGCTAGGTGGGCTTCATTAACAACTTTTCATTCTGGGCAGGACAGGAAGGAAGGCAAAAGAGGGGAGCTATCACCACTGATGTTTGCTAAGGTCAGAGCTCTATGCTAGAGATGGTGTACTGAAAGTGAGTGTGGAAAAATGTCTTTGCAGCCATAGTAATAAAGCAAGAGCTGCTTGTGTTTCTTGATTTACATTATCTGTAACTAGTATCAAGATTTTCAAAGATTAACAGAGATGTTAACAGCTGTTCAGCATCTGGAAAGCCTAGAAATTAGGTGGCAAGAAACAAGGGCTTAAATGGTGCTGTTCTGAGGAGCTGGTGGAGGTGTTTGTGTGCCCCAATAGTTTGGGGGCAGAAGTCACAGTAACAGCATAGAAGGAATTAAATTAAATGAGCAAGAGACCATGAAAAGAGATAATTGGGAGAGCTTGGAAGGGAAGGGCTGTGGAAGGGGCTGGGTTTATTTGAAGAGCTCATCAAGGAGGGATTTACAATGAAGGAGCAGGAGCAGACTAGGTCAGTCCCAAGGGATGATGGAAATGGGAATTTAACAGCAGTTCATGGAGATGAAAGCAGACACTGGTACTGGAGGCCAGAAACCTCTATGGCTTCTATTCATGACCTTCTTCATCCTTCAGTGATGCTTTACTACTTGCACTGTAAGGACTAATTAAGATTTTGTTCCACTACAATAATACCTTAGCTTTTCCTACTGCCTAACTCACATTATTAGAAACTTGGGATTATAAAACTCTAGAAGTGTTTGCTAATCCACGAATTAATCTATCCAAAGTGGCATGGCTTTTTCTGCTGTGCATTACTTAAAAGTGGCAGTCACCATTTAGTCAGGAGCACTCTGCTGACTGAAAAGGGTGGATAATGGGATCCACAAAGTAATTTGACTCTTGATGAGGAACATGGGTATCCTTGGCTGGTTTTCACTTGGGGCTCTACCAGACAGTGTGGGGAAGAATCCCATGGTCTCTAGGTCCTGAGCAGCACAGGAGTAGAGGGTGCAGATAACAACAAGGGTATTCTTGGAGGAAATGTGTGTCCTCTTGTGTGGAAGAAATGCCACAGAAACATGCAGTGAAAGCTTAGTTTAAATGCATCTACTTCATGGCAGGTACCTCACTGAACACATGGAAGATGTAGTCCCTGTTGTAAATCTCTTCTGTAGGTAGATAAAACTTCTGCCTTCTGTTAGAAATGTCCTAGTGTGAACTGTTTCTGACAGAACAGTTATCTGAGTCCTTCAATCCCTGTTTTCTTGGAATCTGGAGGACTTTTGGGGAGGGTTTTTTCCTTTCTCTTTTTACTAGGATGTCTGTTTCTGTAGAAGCCATCCACATGCTGGATGGCTGGAGTTCATCCTGGACACCCCTCTGATGCATCCTTTTGAAAAGCATCATGGCATGAGGGATTGAAAACATTTATAATACAGTTCCTGCAGACATGTGTGGTGGGGCTAAAAGAGGCAACTTCTTCTTTTTTGGTTCTCATGTGATGCTAGAAATGAAGTAGTTCTAATTGCTTCACAGTCCTAAGGCAAAGTCTCCCATTAGCAACAGCTACTGTATATTAAAGATGTAATGGCAAGCACTTGAATAGCACTTTCTGTCTTCAAAGTACTTTGCAGACATTCTTTACTTCTGAATTAAGGGTCAGTTTCTGTCCCTTTTAACACTTTTCTAATGAGATAAATGTTCAATCTGCTTTGAGAAAGGGATAAAGCTCCTGACTCCAAATTCTACACTGAAATAGGGCTGTGTTGTGCTGGTTTGTTTTCATGGTGTAAAGTGCTCCCAAAGGACATGCAGCTGGTATCACCTCTGCTGCTGGAGATCTTCAGACTGTAAAATCAGGTGCCTGTAAAGCTTCTGCCTTCAAACAGCTGGTGTGGGAGGTGGGCTTCTACCCAGTGCTTGTTTAGCCCTGTGCTCTGCAAACAGTGTGAGGGGCAGGGGTCTTGAACTGGCACATACATGAGCTCCTGGCCCTGGAGAAGGCTGGGGATGCACGTGCACCAGCAGCTTAGTCCCTGTGTGGTGAGGAGCCATTGTCAGACATCTCTTATCCAGCCTTGCAGGGCCAGCTCCATTTCAGGGAGCTGCTGTGCCCAGGGTCAGGGGAACATTCCTTGCAGAAGATGAAGCCATGCAGCATTCTTATTATTTCCTATCAGTGCCCAGTAACCAGTAACTCACAGGGAAGCTGGTCCAGTTGACAGAGACTGGGGTCCTCAAGTTGGAAATGTCTCTTAGTGACCAAGTCTGAAGGAAGAGAAGGCTCTGTCATGTCACTGGTATCATTGACAAAACACCCATTGACTTGGATAAAAGTATGAGGATGCCCAACAGTGCTGACTTCTGATGTCATCTCTCTGGTTTACTTTGTTTTGCAAAGACCCTTTTGTGCTTGCTCTGTATTCTGAATATTCAGGTCATTCCTACATACAGAGCCCCCATTTGTAATTAGATTGTGGGGTTTGTTGACCCTATTACAGACAGATTGACTAGCAAGTCACACTGATCCTTCAATATAGGATTTAATAAAAGCCATGAGAGGAGGAGGAGGGTTGCTATTGTTCTGCCCTCAGTGCTGCCAAACAGTCCCTTGTTTTTCTGTGTCTGTGTGTTCAAATGCTGTGTGAACCAACGGGGCGCAGTCAGGAGGCTGGCGAGGGGGCAGCGAGAGGGTCAGCTGGATCCTAGCTAGAAATACTTGTGCAAGTCAGGAAGAAGGCATGGAGGGAAGGAAATTAAGTGGAGACATCTGTGTGGCTTAGCTTTCAGCAGCTCTGCCTGGGGTAGGGGTGGGAGAGTCATGCCTAAGATGACATAACATATTTTGTCTTTCGTGGGTTGGAAACAGAGGAAACTGCGAAAGCGAAGCATGGTGTGTGTCACGCATGGTCCAGGCATACCAAGTACATAATGGAGCAGTGTCAGTGCTTTCTGTTCTGCCTTTCACACCCCAAAGTGACTCTTCAAGGCAGAGAACTGAGGAGAATATGATATGGTCCAAAAACTGATCTTGGACTTTTTTCGCAGACGACTGAGCCAGAGGCCGACTGCTGAAGAATTGGAGCAGAGGAACATACTGAAACGTAAGTCCTGATGCTGCTGACATTTAACCTGAAGCCAGATAATTTGGGTTAGGTTTCATATACATTTGGAGTTTTTTATAAACATCAGATTTTCTCTGTAAGCATCACTGATAATAATTAAAAATAATAAAGGGCATCGTAAGTGCAAATAAGCATGAAAGTCTGTAATAACATCTGAATCTGCAGAAACAGTTCTTTCAAATCAGAGTCAGTAAATTTACAAGAATAAACAACCTAAGGGGAAAAAATCCTAGGTTTTGAATGACATTCCAGACAGGGGGTCAGACATCCTGAAAAGCCTCCTTTGTGCAGCACTTATATAGGTGAACATCCCATTTTAAGTTAGTAAGGACATTAGGGCATAGCTCGATTAGCTTTCCTAAAAATGTTCACAGCAATCTATGCTAGCTGGAGCCTTTATTCAATTTAAAAAATAATCCAGTGTAACTCAGGGTTATTCCCATGAAACTCTCCCTTTAAATCAGCCAAAAATTTGCTGGTAGATCCTCAGCCCATGTTATTTTAAAGGGACAAAATACCACTCAGAAATCGTGAAGCAAGTTAGTAGATACATTGCCACTGACTTGAAGGGAAGCTGGACCAAGTCCAACTTTCATAACCTCATGAATGAACAGGAAGAAAATTACAGTTTCTTTACTTGCATGAAAGTGTTTTGAATATTAAAAACAAAAAAAGCTGTTTATCTAATTATTGTTGTTACTTTGGAAGCAGAAAAAAAATAACAAACAAACAAGTTCTTCCCCTTTTAAGTTAGTAAATGCATATTTCCAGGAAAATTTTTAAAAGTTACTACAGAAAAAAGTATTCCAAAATGGTACCTTATATATAATGTCTCCTTAGGTAGGTCCATAATTCACCTTCTCTTGTTCAAATAGCTGCATTGTATAGAATCATAAAAATGTGGTAGCAGAAGATTATTTCTCTGAAAATCAGCAGAATTCATTTTTCAAATACTTCAAAATCTTAGCAGATTAATGATAGTGTTGGTGCCCAGCAGGGTCTTTTCATCTGTTGATGTTATTACACATGGCAGTCAGAGAGAGAGAGAGGCACCACTGTGAATGCAAAGAGGAGAAAAGACCAGACAGCAGAGCAGCATGGGCAAGCCTGGAAAAGCCATTTGTTTGGGACCAGCCCTCTCTTAGTAACTGTCCTCCTCCTGTCTACTCTTAACTCTGGTGACTGGCTGCTGGAAGAAGAACCTAGGGAAATATTTGGCACATCCAGCTGTGATTGTCTCCCAGGGGTGTAGCAGAACATCTGGAGAAGGGGGGACCTGCGACGTGACTGATGTCAGACTCATGCACAGAGAGACAGAGGCCAATTTTCTGGCAGCTCATTTTGTCATCCTGGAACCCCTGAAAAACATGTCAGGCACCACCTGGCACTGGTGCATGACCAGCAAACACTGCCCTGGTACTGGTGGAGGTGGCATTTTGGGCACCTACTTTGAACCAGCATCAGCAGAGAGCAGCATCTCCAATGCTGGGTGCACTGCAGACATTCCTAAAGGTCACGTTGCTGAGCACAGCAGTCACAGAGCACCCTAAAGGTGTCTTACATTTCAGAGGAGTTACCCCTTGAGTAGGACCAGTTTCTTTTTTAATTGAATAAAGGCTTTTAAATGACATGGATGTTTGAAATATTACCCTGATTCCAGAACCACAATGTATTTCCTAAATGGATTTTTTTATAACTTGCTTTAGCACAGATCAGCCCCAAACATGTGTGTCTTGGTAAACTAACAGCTTCATAATTACAAGAAAGTGTAATATGGTATTTCCAAGGCATTTCAACTTTTGATGAACCACAGCAGGAAAGAAAAAAATAAATTTGTTACATAATTTTAAAAAGAAAGCATAAACATAGTCTGCACTTAAACAAGTAAATATAAATATTTTCTGATTTGTATGTCATTTTGTGTTATTTCGTGTCATTTCTCTAGACTTCCAAGAAGGAGCATTATAATAAATATAATGGAGTTTAGGGAAAGAGAAAATCAGGAAGTGCTAATAAAAAGAGTGTAAATTCTCTGCATAAGCAGGTCAAGTAATTTGCAAAAGCCCAGCCCAGAGCATGCACAAACACAAAAGAAAACCTACCAAGCTCTCAAGTAGACTAAACAGGACTTTCTCTGCAGTTAAAGCTGAAATCTCCCTGATGAAAATGTCATGTCTGGCACCATGATGTTCCTACTACACGTGTAACTGCATTACTGCCCATGCTGATGGGGAAAAATGAGGCAAAGTGTGGTTGGATAGCCAATCTTTATACATGAATTGAATGCTTTCTAGGTCTGTGCTACTGCAATAATTATGAGTTATCTTTGCAAGGGCAAAGCATCCATTTCCCAAGTTCTGCTACTTGCTGATGGCAACAGTGAAATCACAGCAGCCACAGCAAGGAAACAGCAGAGACAGACAACTGGTCCTTGTAGGGTCTCCTTCACTGAAGTATACCCCATTCGCTGACTCATATTTGGGTCAAGGGCATGGAGTGGGAGGAGTCCAGGCCTGCAGGGTTATTTTGAAGACTAAAGAACACTTTGCAGCTGTACTTGCTGTCAAAGGGTATAGGGAAAGATGCCTCAATCCCCTGTCATGCACCACCCCTGTGCCACTTCACAGATGGATGAAAGTAATCCAGTTGTCAACCTGGCACATTCAGGGTTGCATAAATTCCTCACAAAATTATGGTTAGGTGGGTTCTGAATGCCTCAAACAGTACTGGGGGACATTTCACACTGGCACGAGATCAGGAGTGAAAGTTGCACCAACATCACCCTGACACACAGGTTTAGAGAAACAGAGAATCTCCTGAACACCTAAGATGAAATAAAGCATCAGTTCTGTAGCTTCACAAGATTGGCATGACTTAACTTCAAAGAAATAGGCTAAAACAAAGTCACTTTCTAGTTTTGAAGGAGAATGTATTCCTATTTTCCAGCTTTTACCTGCCTGAACTCTTAAGCCTGGCTGTCTCTGAAAGTGGGTGGCTGGGCTGAGAGTGAGGAGAAGAGAAAAACATAGATGCCAAGGACAAAAATGAATAGCCATTACTAAGTTTTATATAAAACTCCTTGGCTGCTTGCAGTTTTACCCTGACTCTGTGTGGATTCTCTTTAGTTAGTGCTGTGTCTGAAAGCAAGCATTTGCAGGACCAGCTCCTCCAAATTTGAGACACAAAGGGAAGAAAAAAATGGCTAGAGGATCAATTGCTGGAGGAGTATCCAGTCCAGTAGGGACAGAAACCACTGAAAGAGGAAAATCATATTTATCAGTGTAGGTACTCCGGTGATTGCTTAAAAAGATAGTTGTAACTCCCTGCTGTCTTGTGTTCTTTTTAGTCCCTACAGAAGGAAGGTTTCCTTCCTTCTGAAAATATAAGCAGTATTTTTGGTAAAATGGCACTTAAAGATCAGAAGTGTAGTGTGAAACATCATAACATCAGCAGGTTCTTTTTCCACTATGGTGGAGATTTCTCAGTCCTACTGAAGTCAGTGAGCAGTTGTGATAGCACTGTATGTCGTGGGCAGCAAGAAACCTGGTTTGCAGCCTAGCCCTCCTCACCTGCTCAGAGGCTTCTGTGGGCTCTAAACCTTAGGTCTCATTTCTGTGTGGGGAAAGCCCCAGTTTTCCAGTGAGAGTGCTGGCTTGCGCTCTCACAGCTGAAGAAGCTACAGCTGGTGGGTTGTTCCTGCTGCTCTGCAGGAGGTGCCTGCTCCGTCTGCTGGATCAGCAGAGAGGATCGTGGGATGCCCCCTTGAGTTTAGTGCAGTCCAAAGTTAAACAATTTAAATCAAAGCACCTCTCCTCAGCTGGCCTTTGAGGTCCATAATGTCCCCTGCAGAGAGTTATTCCTGCCTGAGCTAGTCCTAGCTGAGCAAAAACTGGATCCCAGCAGGGGCACAAAGTACCTACTGGAAAAGCTGATGAGTTATGTTTGCTCTCACCTGTTTTGTGCTGGCATGATTGGAGTAAAAAAGCATTTCAGCCATCAGTGAAGCAGTGGAGACAGATCCTAACTGATCGAGAAGCTGAGTACCTGGAAGCCTGGGATTTTAGTGACTTTTGGTAAAGGTCAATGCAAAGACGATGCATGTCAGCCTGCTCCTAAGTTGAAGAGTTAGTGTACTCAAATGTGATTGAGCTCCTGAGGGAGAAGAGTTGAGGCATGCCCTGCTAAGAACTTGTAGCACATGATCTTTTGGCTTAATGTTGAAAGTTAAATGACCTAGGATGAACTTTTATGCTCCAGTGTGATACTTTGAAGGCTCGTGATGGAAGGACACACTCCTTAACTCTGCTCATGCCATGGGAAGTTGCACAATTTGTTTGGCACCTCTATTCCAAAGGGTTTTTTTCTGTTAGCTGCAATAAATTATTCTGCAGATGGAAAAAAAAATGCATGTGTTTCTTTTCCAACCATTGACCTCGCAGAATCCAACCCCATCGTAGCTGAGCCCCCTGAGGCCACCAGGCCTGTGAGCAGGGAGATAACATTTTTTTGAAGAGCTGGCTTGCTGCCCAGCCCTTCTAGAAAGTGACACACATGAAGAGGTGCCAACACAGGGAAAGGAAGGAAGCTGTAGATGTTTTATGAGGCGTATGAAGAAGCGCAGTAGCTACAGATCGAGGACGTTCACCAGCCCCAGAGGGACATACTGTGCATCAGAGAGGTCCTGAAACATTAATACACTTACTGATGGAAAGGCTTATTTTGTTGCAAACGGTGCATGCCTGATGAGTCCACAGTCTGAGATCCTTGTAAATCTTTTACAGCCCGGAATGAGCAAGAGGAGCAGGAGGAAAAACGAGAGATTAAGAGAAGATTAACACGTAAGGTGAGAAGCAACTTTGATCCTATTATGACACTACTCTAACTTTCTCCCTACTGCACAGTTGTTTTCCTTTTTCCTTTTCTTCAGCACCATTTTCAAAAGTAGAGTGTGAAACAAGTCTAACAAAAAAATCTTTAAAAGAAATCAGCAATGTTGCAGGGTGTAAGTCCATGGAGAGCAAAGGAAACCGCTTTGCAGGCTACTGCTGGTAACATTTCAAACAGGAAAAAAGAAGATCTAGTCTTCATAACTGAAGGAGTTTTGAACAGTGAAGGATAAAAATCAGCATTTACAAGCACCAGTGCTTCTTGTAAGTGTAATGGCTTCTGTAGCCATTAGAGAGAGCAAAGTTAAAGCAATGCTGATTTGAAAATTCCACAAAAAAAACCCCTCATAAAACTGGAAGCTAAACATTTTCTTGAAAGGGAAGTTGTCAACTGAGGCATTTAAACTAAATAGAGACAAGCATTTATGAAAAAGTATATAGTGCAGAAAACAATCTTGTATTGGCAAGGAAGGACAAACAAAACAGCATCGCTTGATTCAAAAGTAATTTACTCTTAAAACTGAAGAACAGTCATTTCAGATGTACCCATTCAGTTTTGCAGCTGGCATAAACGTCTACGGATGCCCAAACATACACAGTGAACAATCCATCCTGCTATTGCAGATTAACTTTCTTTCAGCACTGACATATTTCCTATCTCCAAGGGTAAAGAAAGCCCTCTAAAAACTCACATACTTGTGAAGCAGCACCATTCCCTTTCTGTGCAATTTTAGATGGCTTCATTTTTTTGACCTATGTGATCACAGCTTTCATGGTATAAATATTAACAAGGAAAGGTCTCTAAATATATGTGGAAAGGTTACATTCTGAGAACTGAATTGCCTTCTACCACGGTTAAAAATCTCATGCCTTAACTCTCAGTTCATGTAAATAAGTAGCATTCTTGGTGACCAGTGGGAGGATGCTGCTGTTGTCTGCAGGAGCTAGAGAGCCATAATATTGTTTGTAAAACACTTCTATTCCTCACCACGATGACAGGGATAATTTTGCATTCCCTCTTAGCACTGCCTGAAAGAAAAGATCCTAACTGCATTGCAGATGTTTCATGGGATTGAGGCTCTGCGCAAAGGCTGGAAATGCCATTTTGTCAGGCTTTCAATTTCCCTGTACATTGAAGGGTAAACACGTGCAGGAATCCAGTGCAGAGCTCGATGCCATTTGAGGAGCAGCTGTAATAGATACAGAGCAAAGCTCCCCACACCCAATGTGCTGCCTAAGAAGTGAGGGCTTGCTGACTGAGCTGGCACCATCGCCACATAGTTCCCATCCTTCCCATCCTTCACTATCCTGTAGGAAAGGTGCAGAGCACCTCTGCAAAGGAATCATCTGTCACAGGCAGAGGCCACAGCTCAACTGAAGCACCCAGGCTGCCACTGCTTCACAGCAGTGTCTGCTCCCTAAAACCTCAGCAGTTATCTGGAAGATTTCTTGCTTTGTCTTCTTTGCCTTTTTATGTAGGCACAACAGGGAAAGCAGCATCAGTCCAAGGCCCTGGCATTTGACTCTTTAATACCCCTGTTCCTGATCATGTACCTTTTAGTCTTTTTTTTGTCTTCCTCTCTAGTAAAGATTTTTCTCCCCCACATTTCTGAGGTTGATAGCAACACAACTTAACATTGTTTGCTTTGGATCACCTTTTTAAACTGTTGTAAATTGTTCTAGTGACACATGTAATTTTAATGAAAGAACTGCAGGGCTGATCTAACAACAGATTTTGTTCTCACCTACCAAACATATCATCATAAAAGCTCAGAAATCACTAGAGAAAAGAAGTGAATAAAGTGTGCAAGTGTTTTAGGTAACAACTAGAAATGCCAACCATTGAGTGAATCCTGCAAAAATAGTTGTTATTCCCCAGCTATTTCTTTCATGAGCCTGTCCCAGATGTGTCGTTGTTTTTACAGCAGAGTGGCAAGCTCCTTCTGTCAGTTTGTACTGAAGTCTTACTACCAAAGGATTTTGAACCCCAGATCAAGCAGAAGTTTAATTGAGCACAGCAAGTGTGTTGCCCGGCAGCCCTTTCTGTTTGCACGGAATTGTCAAGCACACATGTGCCTGCAGGGTAAATTCAGCTTGAGGAAACTGCCATGTTGCCTCTTTTGGAAAGGTGTGTAGTTGGGATATAAGAAGGGAAGTGGGTTCTGTAGAAGCCACTGATGAGACTTTTGACCTTGCACTACAGAAACTGCTACTGTCCCCAGTTTTTTTGGTGGCAACATTCCAATTCCAAGGGAAGAACCCACTCCATCCATAAAAAAGCTATTCTTAAAATTCCGTCAGCACTGACATTTTGTTACAGTGTTATGATGATAAGTTGTAACATGACATGCTGTAATAAGTAAGATTACCTTGCTAGGTCTAGATGCCTTATTAAAGTCAGCAATAAATATCCAGTTGAATTCATCATCTGGACAGGCAATTTCTTAAAAAAACCCCAACATTATAAAGAAATCAGGTGACCTATAGCGAGCTGCCCCTTTTAGCATTTTCCATCCTCTCCGACTCATCTAGTTCCACATTAACTGGGGTGAGGAACAGCTACCATTCAAATAACAAAGTGAAGGACATGCTGTTGGCTAAGTTTCTCAGCAGTTCATGTCCCTCCTGCCCGAGGAAGGAGAGTGGAAGCATGTTTGCCTGTCACCTGGGATGTCCAGCCCCCCTGTCCTCTCTCTCCCTGCCCCTCAGGCCCACCGAGCGCCTTTGGGCACACAGACTTGCGTCATTTGAATGGAGGGACACATGGATTAGGAAGGTTTTTTTTCTCAGAGCACTGGTCTTGACCTCCAGCCCATTCAAAGAATATTAATGTGCAGAAGCCCTCTGGAAGTGTTGCAGATGGGTCACGTCCACAGGGAGATGTGGGCCCCCGTGAATTACTACCAAGAGCGTATCTTCTCTGAACCATGACAAACTTGGCCAAGGACCAAGGCAATTAACACAAGCCTGAATGTCCCCTGAGGACTTCCATTACAGAGAGAGAATCGTAGCCTGGATTAACAGAACATGTTACAAATCACTTGCAAGGTGGAATAGAACTCTTTTTTTTCCTACCTTCTCTTCTCTTAAATGGCACCATACTTCCCAATCCCCAGAGCTGGTTACCGCTTCCTATCCCCCCACTGCCAATAGCTTATTTTTCTCAGAGGTCTGGCTCCAAAAGAAAATCCCTCAGAGCTGTAATACTGACTATCAAATTGAAGAGGTGTGGCTGTTTCTTAAAATCTGTGCCATAATCTGAAATCTTTGCTTCTGTTAAATTTTTGCCCCAGTTCAGTTTAAATGCTCTGTTCACTGGTGCCTCTCTGGGAAATGTCTCCCCTGCTTGAAGATGTTCAAGCTTTTCTTTAACTGACCTTCACTGGCTTGCATCAGCAAAGGCTCTTGAAAATAATGAACTCTTGAGAGAGGTGGGACTCATCAGAGAGAGGTGAGAGAAAGGCGGCAGGGAGCAGAAAGGTCAGAGAGGAGGAAAAGGTTAGTGGCTAATTTGGATAAACTGCATTTATAGTCAGAAGGAAAGGTCTTCAGGGCATTTTCATCACATCCTGCTCCTAAGTCTTTACTGCAGAAGGTGGGGAGCAAAAGAGGGGGAGGGGTGCTGCTGATTAGGGTTTGTAATTTTTCAGTTTTTCTTCTTTAAATACCAACTGTAACATTTTAATGAGGAAACAGAGCAGGCAATGATGACATGCTAAGATAAGCATGTGACTGAAGTGGGGGCAAACTCAGCGTTTTGCATTTGACTAAATCCCAAGACCAGACTGGCAACAGTAAGTCCCCCTCCACTTTACCTGGTGGGAGTGCTTGGGTTTGCTTCATTTCACATGCCACGGACAAAGGGGGAATGTTAAACCTTCCCTTTCAAATTGCCTGAGTATCAAAGTCTGGAAAATACCCATTTGTATGTACTAGTGCTCCAAAATATACAGAAGAAAATTTGACCAGGCATGAGAGGTCCTGTCCTCATTTACTGCTCTTGCATTAATACAAATCCATTTATTTTGAAAGGGAATTTTACCCTGGTTCACACTCCTATAATTAGTCACTCACGATAGAATTACCCTGCTCCCTCAGCTCCCAGATCTTCGCAAATAGATAAATAGAAATTTAAATGCCGAGGTATTGCACACAGAAAAAGTCCAGACACAGTCATGCACGTGCATCCCTTTGACATTAACTGAAGCAAATTAAAAAGGGTCAGTAAGAACCCCTCTCCCTGCTTGGAGCACCACACCTTGTGCAGACAATAGCATGGTGCCCTTGGCCATGTCCTTGTCCTGTAATTTTTGAATGTGCCCTATTCTTTCTGCCTGTTAGAAGAGCTTGTTCTCAGGTGCTCCTTGATAAGGACTCTGCAGCATTAAGCAGTTTAGACCCAAGAGACCAAAGCTCACAGGTCATAAAAATAACTGCAAGGTGAGATCTCAGATGAGCTGTGCCCTCAGCGTGGACACATATTGAACTGACACCTGCAGTGGGGCTGCTTACAGTCAGTCCTGCAAAGCTGGTTCCCCAGCTATTCAAGAGTTAAGGGAGCTCTGGGCAGCCCAAACATACTGCAAGACTCTCACACCTAGAAGGTTACAAGAAATCTCTGTAATGCTATGAGAAGAAGGCAGAGAAAGTTGTTAACCATTCCAATAATGTAGCCCTTAATTAATGGCTTTCAGAAAATTACTTAGCATGGTTGTCTCTCTCGTTACACTTAGCATGATCAGATTGGAACTTTGGTTTAATGTACTGAATATATTTTGTGTGCATGTATTTATATATGGAAATATATGTAGATTTATGGCTACACATGAAGTATGTGATACCAGCCATGGATTTCAGGACTCTTGCACAGCAGGAGCACTGGCACAAGAGTCAGTGGATCTTTTTTCTATCCTCATTCCCTTTCTCCTGAGCATCTCACAGGCAGGACATTAGTGCAGCTCTGCAGATTCTCCACATGAGGTATTTGAGCCCAATTTGTGTGTGCATGCTCAGGGATGCTGGTGTAAGGAGAGCAGCCCCACTGCTGCCTCCCATCACAATCATCTTTTCTAAACAGAGAAGAGGAAGAAAACCAACTGTGCCAAGAACAAGCACACAGGCTTACAGCCAGATGCTGAATAGGGTAGTGGAGCTCCACCCAAGTGCTGAAGAAAGGAGGGATTTTTAACCCTTCATTTAGTAACCTGGCTGTTTTAAATCTTAATTCTCCTTGGAAGATGAAATGCAAGAAACTGAGATACTTAATTTGGAAAAAAGGTGGATTCAGGGGCATAAATAATGTTGCAGAATAGAATCTCAAGCATTTTATTAAATATTTAGACCCTTCACCCTTCACAAGGGTAAAGTATTTCAAACACATCTATTTTTAGTGAGTGGGAAGAGCATGATGCACTGTAGGAAATTGTTATCAGGATGATTTTTTTCCTGATGTATCCTGGTTACAAATATTCTACTCTAACAGTGAAACTTTTCAGCTCATCTACAGCCCCATGCACACATTTATGTAGCACCTTCAGAAACGATTGTGTAATTGCTTTTGACATTCACCAGCATGCTGTGCATCCAAGGAGAATTGATCCCTGAAAGCCAGGTGCTGTTCCTGCCCATGTAACTGGCTGTGTGACACGTGTGCTATCAGGACACTAATTTAAGAGGAGTTTTTCACTGTGGCTGCCTATTCTACTGTGGAATTTGAAAGAAATACTTGAAACAATGAAGATGCTTTCCTGACATGATACAATCTACCACTGCCATTTCTTTTGGCTTGTAGTATGCAACATAAAATTTTAATAATCAAATATGGTGTGATACAAACCACAACTGTCAATAGATACAGTTAAAAGTTCAATGAGCACTAATCATCCTGCCTGCCTTTTCTGGAGGTAAGGACTGCAGAACATCAGAATGGTAAAGAAAGTTGGTTTTCACCTTTTGCATGTAATTCAGGGCAGGAACCACTCTGTGCCTTGGCCTGACTCTTCCTAGGCAGTACAAAAGTACAGACAACAGCAGCAGAAGGCTGAAAGTGCACAGCCTGTGCAGGTCATTTTAGAGTAGTGTTGTGATCTTTGTCTCTTCGTGGGACAGCAGTGCCCTAAGAGTCTTTCTTGCCTTACATCTCATTTCTGCTAAGGGTGATCAACCTCAGCTGGGAATTGTGGTCTCCAGCCACAGCAGCTTCCCAAAGAACAGTGGGCTGCTCTGGCAGAAGGTGGGATCATATTCAAGGTGTTATAACAAAGGACATTTCCCAGGTAGAAATTTTGTGAAAGGCAGATAAAAAGAAAGCACTGGGAATGTCCAAACCCTCTTATTACCATAACAGCGGTTGCAGTAAAATAAATCCCCAAGCAGCACTCTGCAGGGAAAAAGCAAAGTCCTGATGTCTTTTTCCACTCCTTCCTCAAACCTGCAGCTGAGTCAAAGGCCCACAGTAGAAGAGCTACGTGAGAGGAAGATCCTCATCCGCTTCAGTGACTACGTGGAGGTGGCAGACGCACAGGACTATGACAGGAGGGCAGACAAACCCTGGACACGACTCACAGCTGCTGACAAAGTAAGGGGGGCAACTCTGGGAGAGCCATGGCCTAAACAGCCAGAGCATGTCATGGCAAACAGCATCCTTTGGGTCCCACAGGTCCCATGGCTGTCAAGGAATAAACATCTACCTGACATCCCTTTCCAACAGACCTGTGGTTTTTTCCCATTCACGTGGTTTGTTTGTTTGTTTGTTTGTTTGTAACATAAATCTTTGGCAAGAAGGTTTCTATATGCATGGAAAACAGGAGGGAAGGAATCCCAAGCCCCTTGAGGAGAGGTCTTGATGACAGCCCTGTTGTTTGTTGATTTTGGTCTTATCACATTATGCTGCCAGCTGAGAGCTCTGGAAAGACTTAGCAGAGCAGTGAGACAGGAATGTGTGCCAGAATGGCTCTGCCAGGACAGGACAGACTTGGGTGTGAAAATGCCAGCAGGTCAATTTGGCAAAGGTACCTCCATCCCTCCAAAGCCAGAATCACTTCTCTCTAGAGTGTTACAACAGGGATATTTGCTCAGGATTTCTGCCACAGAGTATTTTAAGCACTGAACTGAAATCACAGAAGACCTGCAGATGAAAAAAAAGGAATACTTTGGTATTGATGGAACTGCCCTCTGAGCACTGGTGGAACTTCCCTAAATAGTGTCTCTGGTGTGGACATTAATGGCATTAATACCTATGAAGCTGCTGGCAAATTATATCAGTCACATTCTGAGGATCTTAATGGGACCTCAGGAAAAATATGTAAAAGATTTTATGGACATTGCAAGAAGCGAGGACTATGAGGCTCAGTGATTCACTCATGAATCTTATAGTCACTCTGTGATGCCCTTTTAATTTCAAAGACTTTCAGATACCTGAATTCAGGCCTTGACTACTTCTTTGCCATGGAACTCAGTCATTTAGCAATGGAGAGCATGATGTCCAATGTTTAGAGCTTTAGCAGAGTTTCCAGCTACACCACTCATCTGTGGTGCTCTTGGTTTTATTCACAAAGGACAGCCTGTTTTACTAGTATAATTCAACCAAAGGATTTGTACAGTTTTTTGACATTGTTCTCCCCCTTGATAGAGGGATTTTTTCAGTTTAGCTTTGGTTAAGTTAATGTAGCATAAACTGATCTGAAAAAAAAATAAAAACTTCCTCAGGACTGTCCATAGACCATAATATACTGTGTTAAATTAGCTTTTTATTTTTTTTAACCTCACCATGTTCGACAAGATATTAGTCAACTGACTTAGCTTTATTCTTTTAATTATTAGATGAGGGAGGGAATAAATCTCCCAACTGGTTCTACAGCCTTTAAGAGATCCCTGTCTGGTTGGAAAGGCATGGAGAAACCTCAGCTGGGCATGGAGATTTGATCTCTCATCCTATGTCTCTGAAAACAACAAGCATTAAATACCATTATTAAATGTAACCTAATAAGGAAATTAGTATTAAGGCAGAGTATTTGTCACTTCTTTTTTTATAATGCATGTGCAAGTTCAGTAGTCAGAGAAAAGGGTTAAGCCCTTCAAATTAACCTTTTCTCAGCAAAGCACCATCAGAAGAAGAGATGTTTGTCATTCTAATATTAATGCCTTTTATAGCATGAGGAAGCAAATAGATTGGGTTTTTTTGGGTTTTGTGGGCAGTATTTTGATTTCTGTCATACAGGTGACCTACTTTTCCTCAACACTATGTCCACTATTTGAAAAAATAGCCAGACAAATTGTAACAAAGCTGCATCATCTTAGATAGGATGCTGAGATTCAGTAGCTGTCTTCATTGGTCAGTACAAACTAGATTTACTGCAAAAACAGATTTTAGGAATGGGTTTTTCTGTTTGCCAGTAAATCTTGCTCTGAGTGCTGTGTGGAGGGAACTGCCTTCAGTCAGAGTTTGTCTTTAGCAGGTCTGACCCTTAGGGGAAGGAAAAGGGCATTTTTGCATCTCTCCAACAGATGAGAGATGGAGGGGGGAATAGATCTCCCCTGTGATTGTGGGAGTCAACCACAATAGGCTGTGGGAGTCAGCCACCCCTGTGGCCTCCTTCACAGTCCCTTCAGTAGCAGATTGCTCTGCTGAAGGCAGCCCAGGAGCTGCTGCATAGCCATCACTCTGTCCTGATGGATGAGGCAGCACCTGACAGGCACTTCTGAGGGAAATAAGAAACAAAAGCTGTGGAGAAGGAGCAGGAAGGGCCTTTTCTGTACAAAAACACTTGCAAAATCCATCACTTAGGGTTTGTCAAAGCAAAGGTAGTTGCTGAATGCAGCAGCGGCTGTTGCAGAAGTCCTGTTTTGGGCTTGTGCTACTCATCCTGGTTTAGATTTCCTTCACTGAGAAAAATTCCTGACAGACATGAGTACCACTTACTGGAGCACCCCCTTTCCACCTCTGATCCTAATGTTTTCAGCATCACACAGAAAGGCAGTGCACACACCTCAGACCCATGGGAGCGTTTGGCCACACCTTGTCCATCGCCTCCAAATGCTCACAGTGAAACCACTCGTGAACAACAAATAGCACAGAGCTGTCAGAGGTCTTCACTCTGAGCTTGGGACTTGAGCCATTTCTGCTGAGCACCATCTCTACCATGCAGCTGAGTCCCTCCATGTCACCCCCTCTGGTTTTTTATTCTTCAGTATTTCTTTTCCTGCCAGTGCCCCCTGGTTTTATTTGCCCTCACAGAAAAGGCACAGAGGCTGAATACCACCACTCCATGGCAGGTTTTCTGCTGGATTAATTTGTCAAATCACTTCAATAAACAGCACAGCTGGGTCAGAAGAGAGGAGCAGGGCAGAGGGGCACAGCCCAAGGCAGAGTAGAGGGCAGGGAGCCTCTTTCCTTCCCAAATAAGATCAGTTGCTTTATGTAACATCACCTGAGGAAATCCAGGACCAATAAAGGCAGAAGACATCTCAAACACAAGTCTGTCAGGATCTGGGCCTGGTCTAGTCACAGTCCAGTCTGGAACAGATCACGTGTTTCACAAACTGCAGTCACATTTTTTTTCTCATGCTTGTGCTAATTTGGATTTTGTACATGTTAATGTTCACATAATAAGCCAGAATTGGGTTCTGTACCTGCATTGTCTGTGATATGTTTTCAAATTGAGCCATTCCACCAAAGCATTTCTCTCTTCCCTTTATGTGATTTAGAACATGCTTATCTCTGTTCCTTTTCACATTTTAAAGTCTTTATGTTTGTCTTTGTCTCTCTGATAATGTTATCTCTCTGCTTTACTTTTAATATACTGTTTTGAGAACAAAGTGACCTTATTTTAATCTCTCTCATTTATACATTTATGAGTTTCTTTGTCCTTTGCAGGCAGCCATTCGAAAAGAGCTTAATGAATTTAAAAGCTCTGAAATGGAAGTTCATGAATTAAGTAGGCATCTAACAAGGTAAGCTGAGAGATTAATTTTTTAAGACTATAAATGAATACTGTTGTTTTCAAAAGAAAATCAAAGCCAGCAGCTGTTTCTCCAACATGCACTGAACACACCATGAGGTCTAGACAACATTTAGAATTACAGGCTGTAAAAGCAACTCACACGTGCTGCCCCATTATGTGGAGTTATGCAGGCACGTGCCATTTAATGAAGTATAACCTGAGGTTTTTTTAAATCATCATGCTGCATATCTGTTCTTCTGAGATGAAAAATTTAAAAAAAGAGCTGGTGTCAGAAGGAGGACAGGGAACCCTTGTAGAGCACGTAGCAAAGTCTGGGTGAGTGCACACTGAGCCCTGCTGTGTGTGCAGCTGTTCCACACCACACAGATCCCACCCACAGATCTCTCAGTCTCATCCTCCACACCTGGCCATTGATGCAGTGGGGCATGGCAAGATCCATCCTGTAAGAGAAGCACTGTTATTTACACCTTGGGCTTCTTTTTAGTTTTAAAAGTAGAGACTGAACAAATTATCCATGAGCCCAAACCAGCCACTTTCCTCTCTGATGGGCTAGGGCTGAAGTCAGGTCTTTACAAATCAACACTTTAGACTTTAAAGACAAGTGTTGGGTACTGAAGACAAGTGACAGTGAGATCTGGTGTGAAACGGGAGCTGCCCTTGTATTAATGTGTTCATCAGTTCTGTGCTCATGAAAAATGCAGGTGGTACTTTTAGGAAAAATACAGAAAAGCTTAAGGCAAAATTAATTTTGTATTAGAAGATTTTTATGTGTATAAATTAATAATTATATTAAAATTCACCACATGTATTATGCATATATTACCTTGCAGAAATGATCTCCCTTTTCCATCCTAGCATGTGCTAGGCTGGTTGCACTGGGGTTTGTAGTGACGGAGTGCTGCTAGAGACAAGCCAGCTGTCTCTGAGCCACAAGGTCTGGGAGAAGCCTTAGGATGTACAGTTGACCTAGATCTGTTGACCCCAGTGACTGAACCTTTGAGAGACATTTGGCTCCTCCAGGGCAAGGTGACAAATGTAGAAAGGATGAGGCTGTTTTAAAGGGGGTGTTGCTACAAGTAGTCAAGCTCCACTGAGAGCTCCTTTGAATTCCATGAAGCCTTTAGCATCCCACAACATACAGACTGGTTTAGTTTTCCAGAAGTCTCTCTGGCTGCTTGGCTTTCACAGGTTTCTGCACAGTATTTTCCTTCTCTTCCAGTGTTGGAGTAAGCAGTGACCCTTTAAAGTTTGTATCTGAAAACCGCTGAGCAGCTTGGACTCAGTAATTCTGGGCCAGGCAGAGAGCCACAGCTCACATAACAGACCCTGGAATAAGGCTTTGCCTGAAGAATAGCAGGACTTACTGGTTCAACAAGTGGCTTTGGGAAAACGCACTTGAAGGAAGCATGCTTAAATAAAAGAGAGTATTTCCCTTAAATAAACTTAGATAAATCACCATTATAAAGTCATTAGCAAGGTAATGAGCTCTTCATGTCATTAAGCAGTGGCAAGAGCAAAGAATGTGAGCATCACTTTACTAGTGGGACATTAATTAATTCATAATAGAGTGAAAAATCAAAGCTTAAAAAATGTGTATTTGCAGATCTGACAAACCAAGGCCTTCTGACACAAGGTGCCTTGCAGGAAGGGTGGCCGTTTTAGCTCCATTTATCTCTTTAGCCTCCAACATTAAAGAATAATCATGGTTAAATTGTATGTAAATCTTTCTGGCAAAATAGCATAAGGTTTGTCTAAACCAGACAATTTTTGTGGAGTCAGGCCTTGTATGGCCTGGAAGAGGGCGAGCTGATCTGCTATTGCCCACTCAGGGATCCAAGGATAGGATGGACCCAAGTGTATGAATGTCTCTGGTAGATTTTGGTGCAAACAGCTTACACCTATGAACTGTGAGTCTGGCAAGGGCCAAGAAAGTGTGTCTGTCTGTTTTGGGTCCTCTTGCTAGCATGGCTGATGTCAATGCTGCAGGAATTGAACTGCCTAACGGTATCACTGTAGCAATTAGTTCTCCTACTTTTTTATGTGCAATATACATGTGAGGATATTATCTTACTGTTTCTCTTTTTTTTCCCCCTTGGGTTTTAGGTTTCATAGACCGTAGCAGATCAATTCTACCTGACTACTATGCCATCTTCAAAACATAACTAAAAGGAACCATAAGTGCTGGTATTATTCACTTCCCTGTTACGTACAATGTAAATCTTCTGAACTGCCTTTTTAAAAAAAAAAAAAAAAAAAAAAAAAAAGGTAGAAAAATAAATATTAAAAAAAAGGAGAATTGTATTTACATGTGATGAGTACTGCAGCATCATCAGACCTGCTGGTTCAAGCTTCAGTAACAGAAAATACCCCTGGTGGGAAATTGTGCCAAGAGTTGGCCTCTATGTATAGGACTTTCCCGGCATGTGGATTTGCCATATGTGTTCAAGCCCAGCTGGTGGTGCAACCATTGTTGTCTTCAGGCGCCCCTCATCCTGACAAGCCTCTGTCATCAAGCCTAGAGAGCCCTGAGACGTGTTCAGGGAATCACTTGGCCTGGGTGAAGTCTCCAAAAGATGAGCCCCTATGGCACTAAAGCACTTACACCAAACACTCCTTTCAAGCTGAGAGCACCTTATGAGGACAGTGAAGGAGCGAAACTCTCCATGGGCCAGCCCATCTGTGAATATCATCTGAGATAGAAAGGTATTTCTTTCCCTGGAGAAGTTTTCAGCCAGTCAGTAGACATTATTCAGCTTCCAAGCAGAAAAATCCTCTGAAGAACAGGACTCCCTACTGAAGGCTGCTTCACTTCTAGCAACTGTTTGTTTTCCATCTCTTTGAAGTATAATTTTCTAAACCCGGTTGTGAGCCCATTAGCAGTAAGTGACAAGAACACTGAGAACCAGCAAGCAAAAGCCCATCTCTTCATGGTCACTGCATGGCATCTGCTCTGCTTGTAGTTTGTCTTACACCCAAACCTTGTGACTGTGTGAGAGCCAGTGTGCCCCTGGCAGCAGGAAAGGCTGGGATTGCCCTCCGGCTCTGCAGAGGGACATGCAATAGGAGGGGTGGGAGGTTCCATGGAGGATATCTAATGTCTCTCTATCAGGTGTCTCAAAAACTGATCCCAAACTCACACTGAGCAAAGCATGACAAGGTGTGTTACCTGGCCTAACAAATGGAGTCTGGGGCATTCTTATGGATGGTGGGACTTGTCACTGGTACCCACAGCTGAGGCATAAGGACAGCAATTCAGAGGTGTTCTGAATTTATTGGTTCTAACTTTGGTTTTAATTTATTTTTATTATAGTGGTTTAACACACAAACTGACCAAGCAGAGCTCAGAGAGCTGGTCACTCTGGGCCTGGCTTACTTGCCAACTTAAGTGTGTGCTCTACAGTGAGGAAGCACACACAGCCTCACTGCTTTCAAGAATATGTCTAAGAGGCTTAATTGAACCTGGACACAATTAAGTGCTTTTCTGAACTTAGGCCATCACCTTCCAGAATTAAGTCCTTAACTAGTATAATGCCAGCAAACTGGGGCAGACATTGTCAGGATTCCTTTCAAGCTCTTACAGGATACTACTATGCCATGTTTTGGGACAGTGGCTGAAAGCACTGTAGCAACATGACTGTAAGAAGTTCCAGATTATTATTCCAGGACATCTTTTCTTCCACAATAGCTATTTTCCTTTGACAGTTTCAACAGAGAGGCCAAAGTTTTTTACTACAGAATAGTTATTTCTGTTATTCTTTTACTAATTTTTCCTTTCTCACTGTCTTCCATGTATCTATCCTCTCTTCTGTACTCCCTTTCCAGGTCCCCCTGTTCCATGCTAACATTGCCCTTCACTGATTGCAGGCCAAGACATCTCTCACCCTTGAGCATTTAATGCTCAAGTGCAGTGCAGTGTAGTGCCAAAACTCCTGCCTCTTCTCAGGCCTCACCTCACTCCTCTGGATGCAGGAGTATGGCCAAAGGATCTGCACAGAGCCCGTGGAGTGGCTCTAGCACCCAGCCTGCCCCAACAACCCTGGCAGTGAGGGGGCAGCCCTCCATCTGCTCTTGGTGGTGGCACTCAGCACCTTGCAGATTGGCCCTCCAGCAGAGAGAAGCAAAAACTTTTCATTCTCATCCATGGCCATCCTTGCAATACTGTGGATTATTAGTTATTAAATGAAGATTGGCTGTTGTAGGATGGAACATCAAACGAAAGTAAAAAACAGGTGGTTTCTGGTGCTTCCCTGGGTGATGATTCCTGAGGAAATGCACCGTGATCCCTGTATCACCAGCTCACACTTGCTTTAGATAGAAGTTCATCAGTAGTGAAAACCTTCAGTGTGCAGTGTTATCAGCTCAGTGCAGCAGAGGCAGAGCCTCTACCAGCCAGGAATACACTGCTTTGGGGTTATTGTCATGAAAACCTCAGTTCTTGTTTATAAATTCATTCACATACATATACACACAAGTTAAATAACTGCATCAGAGCTTTAAAACAAGGAAAGGAAGTCTTTATGCTTTTAACTGCACAGACTGCACTGCATTAGCAAAGAGCTCCGGAACAGAGCTGTTCTGAAGAACAACAAATCCTTGTGTTCCCAGCATGGATCTCACACCTGCCCTGGCATCTCTAGTGTAGAGGATCACTGTGAAATGGAAGGGACACTGTTTAAAGAGCAGTGGTGACAGGAAGCACAGGACTTGGTAGGCTAGTGGGAGGGAAAGGCGAGGGTTTGTTTCATTTTTATTAACAAAATTAAGAGGAAGGAGGTGGAAGTCACAGGCTGCTGCTGTCTGTCCATTGTTAGTGCTGGAGTCCCCAGGGCAATGATCACTCTGGGCACTGCCACTGTCCCCCACAGGCACAGCCCCAAGCAGTGCCCACACTGCCAGTCTGACACCCAAAATAAACCCTTGTGCACCATCTGAGATACATAACAGCCAATCCTGGGTGATGGCCAAACATTCCCCAGCACCTTCATCCCAGTGAGCCCATGGCAGGTCCCTTCTGACCACTCAGCAAGTTGCCACACTCAGCCTTGCCCATGATTTTGTGCTGTCCCCAGGGCAGCTCCATGCAGCAATGCTTTTTTTTTTTCCCTTATTTCTTTTGGTTTTTTTTTACTTAACTCCTAGCTGAGCAGACACCATACAGAAGTGGAAGAATTTCCATATTTCTCCCCAGATGGAAATAGAGCTTATTCCTGAAAAGGGTGAAGGTGAAGAAAAAGAAGCCATACAAGGTGTTTGGCACTGCAGTATCACCAAATTGACACTTCATCTGCTTTCAGCTTCAGTGGGTCTGGGTAGTTTGCAAAGTTAACCTTTGCCAAAGCATTCCACAGCCCGAATGTTCCTTTCAGGGCCTGAACACAGCACTGTATCCTTGGTGTGCACACCCACCACTGGCATCCCTGGGAAGTTGCACACAGACTGGGAAACTGCTGGTCCCTTTTTTTATAAATCTGGTTTCTTAAGAATTGTTTTCTGATCTGTGAAAGCCATCTCCATCATGGCAAAGGAGCTGTGATTCTGTTGGCAGTAAAGGGAAAAAACCAAACAACAAACAGTCAATGATTTCTCTCCTTTGACCTGGATTATGTATAGGACATAATGATGGCATTCCTGCCAAGACTGTATTAGCACAGTCATCCCCATTCTGATTGGAAGGGGATTATTAGTGGTAGTAAAGAAATTACACCAGGTTTAGAGAATGGGAAAGTCAACACAGAATAAAAATTACTATTCCCGGGGTAATCCATCTCCAGAGGTAATAATCAAGCAATAGAAGCATTTTGGTTGTATCTACCAAATTCTGAATACTTAAAGTGTGCAAGTATTTTGACATCTGCTGTATTTGGCAGCCTGCAGAATAATGAAGTAGAAATGGGGCCTGAGGGGTGGCTGGGGAGGTGGTGGGGATTGAAAAAGCAGTTCCAAAAGATCTAGACAAAAAAATTTGGTTGTTTGGGAAAAGTGATGGTGAGGAAGCCCAACAGTGGCACACCTTCACCAGCAGAGGGTTGCAGGGACCTGGTGACACCATTCTGACTCAGAGGGAATGTGGGCTTTGTGGCTTTTGCCCACCCTACATCCCACTGGGTGGGTACTTGCAGTCTGAAGAAGTTTCAGGCTGCAGTTTGCTGCGAAGGAGCTCAGGCCAACTTTTGGGTCTAGGCAATTCCTAGTGAACACACTGGGCATTATCAGAAGAGAAGGAAGAGGCAGGGAAAAGAACATAATAGACTTTTAGCTATTTTATATTAACTGAAACCATTTAGTGAGGCCATTACACAAATAAATCTCATCCTAATCCATGTGTAACCACTGAATTCTGTCATCACTGCAAGTACTCACCAAATTCACCCTTCCTTATTTCCTTATTCCTTATTACAGCACCACCTGTGCAATGCAAACACTATAAACCAAGAGAGGGGGGAGCACTTCCAACATGCCTAGTGAAGCTTGCACTCATAAAAATAGATGGGCAAGGTGGAAACCCATAGTTATACACAACTGGGGGCTCCCTAACGTGCCTGCAAATAAAATAACTTTGTATAAATAGCCATGGGAGATGACTAGGCTAATAAAAAAATCAGGAAAGAAGGGAGGACAAATTATTTTTCCCAGGTGTTCAGTCTGCTTGAGCTTGGAACAACTTCTGTAAACAAAGAGGAGGTGACGGGCACATACCCTGTGTTCCTGTGTGTCCCAGTTACTCCTGCACCAGTTGCATTTTCCAGTTGATATCCAAGTGTATGTATATAGATTGTCTTTGTATAGGAGTGAGTGTGGTGGCTGTCAATCGTGATCTTCCAGTATTGTAATTTAACAGATTATGGCTGTATGAAAATGATGTAAATAACTAGAAAAAATTAAACTGGATCTCTATGTCCTAGTTTTTGTACATACTGAAACTGCATGGTATTTAAATTATTGTTTGTCTCTGATGTATGCAGTTTCTTAAAAAAATTCATTTAAAAAAAGCTTTCTGGTGCCTGTGTATTTTATCACCCTCTGTCCCAGTGACTGACAATGTAACACACAGAGGCACTCAAGGATACCAGCCAGGCTCTCCCACACCTCCATGGGAGCAAAGCAAGAAAGGGCGACTTCCCAGAGTGGATGGATGGGACAGATCAGATGAGCCCCAAGCACCATGGCTGGGCTGGTGCAGCTCAGCAAAGAAGGACAAGTGGTACCTCAGCTGCTGAAGGGGTACCTGGCACCCCCCCAGTGAAGAACAAATCCAACAGTCTGCACTAGACACGCACAGGCATCCAAAAACCCCACAACCAAACCCCATCTGTCACCACAATGCTGCTGGTGCAGGCTGTGCCCTGCCAGGGCCAGCTGCCAGAGTCAATGTGCAGTAAGTGCTGCTGCTGTTCAGCAGATTCCTACACATCCACATCATGTATTCCTATTTTTTGTTACCCTTCTTCCCTGAGTAGCTTCAGTGGGTGACAAGTCAAAGCCCCTGTGTAGTGAAAAGAGGAAGAAAAGCTTTCACAAGAGTAAATACATACCTTCAAACAGGCTCACTGGCCCCCTGCAAGGGTGACAGCTCTGCTGAGGCTCTTCAGTGTTTGGAACTGATGGTGCAAACATTCTGACCCTGAGGAGATGAGTGACACTCAGCATCCTCACTGTAAGTGGCAGCTAGAAGCAGCTCCCCTCCCCTCCCCTCCCCTCCCCCTAATTAGAAGCAATTAGATGCTTCTAATTACACAAAAATTAAAGAGCCATCTACTTTAACTGAACAAATTCTATTCCTTTCCCTTGTAGGAAAAAAAACATTGATCAAAGCTCTGGTATTGGGCTTTTTTTGGTTTGCTTCCATCTGGGCAACTTTTCACCTACCTCACAAACCTTGTTTTTGTGTGTTTGTATGTATTTCCATTCTGACAGCCAACGAGTTTTGTGGCTATCCTGTGAGATGTGGATAAATAAACAAAATTGTAGGTTGTGACTAAAGATCCCCTTCCTTCACATCAAGCTATGGTTTCCATAGCAGCAGTATATAGTTGTTGGGTTACATACAGTAATTCCTGTGCTTTAACAAGAAAATTATTGCTGAGAATACATTGTACAGGGAATGTAAGAACACAGTCCAATCTCTTACACTGAGACCTCTACAAAAGGGATGGGTTTTGTTTCAATTTCATAAAAGCAGTCTGAGTGAAGGGATGTGTGTGTCTTCAGTGAAGTCCATGTAATTACTGACAATCAAATTGCAATCCAATGCCATCTGTAGGCAGGAAACAGAGGAGGCTGGAAAACAATTCTCCATTTAACATACACACCTGCACAAACACACTCTGCTGCTTGGCAGTGCCTGGCTAAGAGCTCAGTGCCCTTAGCACAGGTGTAGGGCTGGATTGCTTTGCCATCATCTCCCTCACCTCCATTTCTCCCCTCTGCTCCTCAAATCAAGCTTCCCAGACAACCAAGCCCAAAAACAGCGGCGTGGCCATGCCCTGGTCACAGAGTCGAGCTGGTGTGTGTGGGACAAAGCAGCTGCCCTGCTCCTGAGCAGTGGGAGCTTCTGGTGCAGCTGTCAGCGCGAGGTGCAGGAGGTGCAACAGCACCCTCAGGCCACACGGACCAGCAGTGCCTTCAAATGGTACAAAGCTGCCTTCAGAATTCTTCCCTGAGTGGCAGAATGAACAAAAGCTTGGCTTTTAGGTAAATTTGTGCCACTGGAGCTGTGGTGTTCAGAAGGAGATCTTTGGCTGAAGCTGTCCCATTTGGAGATGACAGCTGATCTCCTGTCCACAGAACACTGCTCTGGATCACTGTTACTTTTGGAGCCTTTGAATGACTATATTTCAGTTACTTTTGTCTCCATGCTCTCCTGCTTTCCTTTCCATGCAGTCAGGCCCCTTAATAAAATCCAAACCCCTCATCACTTTTAAAGCATCATCCTCTGACATCTGCCTTTACTTTGCTTATCTGGAGTTTCCATAACATTTGGACATCAGCTGGAAAAGAATTGGTGCGTGCAGCACGGGACAGCACTGACATGTGGCACCACGCTAAACCTCTCTGGAGGGAAAGCATGGCTTTAGGGGACAAATGGATCAAATTAAGCTTAATTTTCTTGTCTGCAAAGCCCATGAAGATATTTGGCAGGGTGAAGCTTGGGGAGGACAGCTTTCACTCTCCAAAATCAATACTTCACTGCTGTCTCTGGGGGGGAAAAAGCATAAAGGAAAAACAAAAACAACAACCTAACACTTTTTGGGTTCTAAATGAACAAGCAAGTATGCAGCAAGCAGTTACATACTCAGCCAGTCAAGGAGAAATCATGTAAAAATAGAAAAAATACCTCATTTTCAAGCTTCTCAGGAAAAATGAACATCAGGTAACTTCTTATGTTCCCGCTGGATGACATAGAGGTTAACTGAAAACAAATAACAAAGATAACCCCTTCCTCACCTTACTTAGCCAAAGATTTCAGTGGGAGACTCAACTATGTGCAACTTCAAAACATTCTGTGTTAGCCACTATGAGTCCATAGTAGATAAACGACCAAACTTGGACTTCTCATTAGAAGTGCCAAGTTGGAAACCACAACTACTGCACTGGTTTAGTTCAAGAGGTCCAAGAATGGTCACCACGAACCCCAGGCTGGTGACAATGTCTGGAGGGACAGACCCAGGCTTCCCTAACAATGGACTCTGCTCCAGGCTGGGACGTTAGAGGTACCTTGCCTCAACTTTCCCCTGACTGTCACATGCTGGGGACAGTGGAAGTTCCTGTTGTGCTGTTCTGCTCCCTTGGGAAGCAGAGCAGTCAGCTAAAGGTTTATGTTCCACTGAGTGCACGAGCAACTGAGCAATCACTGAAAATTGACTGAGCCTAAGTGAGCCAGACTCATACTTCCAGTCTATTAGGAATTCAGGGCATCTTCTGCATTAACTGATTCCTTCTAAATCCACAGCTTAAGTTTGTGAGTGGACCTATTATGAGACACACAAATGCCTCTCACCAGCAGTGAAGGAAGCATGGCATTAAACCACCATGCACTCTCTTGAGCATAGCACCTTCTTCAGCATAGCCCACAATAAATAATGACCTCTGCAATAAAGAAACACTCCTTGGTACACGCAACTGAAAAAGCTAAATACAAACTTCAGCTGGACATTACAGTGGAGCAGCATTTGGGGATCCATCCCACATAAAATGGGATGTTTAAGTAAAATTGCTATTGTTTGTGTGGAAACACAAAGTGTTTTACTGTGAGGATGACCAAGTGCAGGCTGCCAAAGAAGTGTTAGACTCCCTCTCCTTGGTGACAGTCAGAAGCCACACAGACATGCTTGGTCCTGGGCAACCAGCTCTAGGTGGCCCTGCTTGGGCAGGGGGGTCAGACCATGTGGACTCTGGAGGTCCCTGCCAACTTCAACCTTTCTAAGGCTCTGTGATCTCTCTCTTCTGTGCAGCTCCAGGCCGGCCTACTGATAGAGAAAAGGCTTCTTTAAATGAAAAAAAGAAGACTTCTGGAGCCTTCAGCCAAACAGTAATTGGAGGAACACTCACTGGCAAGCTTGGAAGCAGTTACACTGACTGGCATTTCTAATCCTGATGCAGTGTGCCTCTTTTCACAGAATATGAGTTATTGATTCCCTTTCAGGACTGAAACAGCTGAACACCTTCAGTGTCATCGCTGCTTGTTTTTAAATGACCAAGTAATCTCTGTGTGAAGGCCCCAGTGATGCACCCACACCTCTGGGGAGGTGTGAACTGGCTGTGTGCCAGGGGGATCCTTCACACCAGCAACCCCTCAGACTGCACCCGTGGCCATTATTTGAAACACTTGTGCACTGCATGTTACAGGATGCAGGGCTGTTAACACACCTTGTGTCTTTCCTGTGCACCTTGCCCAGGTCCCATGCCTGCACTAGGAAAACAAGCACCCATCCAAAGTGAACTCCATGGATTACACTACAGTGCAGGCACAGCAATGGATTCCAAAGCAGACACAAACATGCTTTTCCTGAACTGGGGCATTCCAGCAGCACCAACAGCAAGGTCTCAGCATCCAGCAGAGATCTGGGGGAGAAAACTCCCCAGGATTTTAGGGGTAACCCCAGCCGAGTCCCAGGCTTCCCCACTTAATATGCTGCAAGGTAAACCTGTCCCAGTTTAAAACAAAAGCTTCTAAAGCATTTCAAGTCTGCACAACACTGAGTGCAAGCTAAACACACTCTCTCAAGTGCAGCGAGCATCCCTGGCACTCAGCACACTAAACACCAATTTGAGTTAAATAACAGCTAAGCAACACATTCTTATGTACAATTCCCTGGTCTATGCAAGAGGTAGAAATAGAATTTTACACTTTTACAAGAAAAATATCAGTTCTCCAGTAAATCTCTACCTATGGCTAATCACTCCACTTTTACTCACACCATGAATTACATTTCTGCATTGAATTTATTCTGAAATCTAAACCAAGAAGAATCAAATTACAATAGCTTCGAGCCAAGCACCCAGCAGAGGCATAGGTTATTACTGGGCTGTAATTCTGAATTATATTGGCTCATCCCACTGATTTTCTCCATACCTGCACAGATCCACTTCTCTAGAACATCTTCCATGAAGAACAAAGGAGATACAGCCATAGAGAGCTTCTGACATATAAAGAGTATTTTAAAATACTTCAGAAAAGGATTTCACCCCTGGTCATTGTGATGTCCTGTACCTCAGATTTGGGAAGTTACACTTATCTGAAAATTTACAGTGTTAAAATAGTACAATTACATTCCGAGCAAAAGCATGCTTGTTCACCACCCAGCAGGCTGACATTCAGTAAATTCACTGTACAAATACCTCCAAGTAGTAACTAGTTACATCAAGTCTAAGATGGCATACTGAAACATTTTTAAATTACAAGTAAATCTATTTACCTTGCTTCAAGAGTTAGTTTTACTTCTGCAAAAGCAAGAGAGCACATTGTGCAATCAAAATGCTGTAGCTGGATGAACACATAACACTTCAGATGTCATCACTCCACCACTAAGTATCTTCATTCCATCTGTATTTATTGAAAAATATTTACATATTGGTCACCATGCTTTAACAGCATCTTTACACAAAAGGGTTAATGAAGAACATCACACTAGGATGGGGGAAGGGTGGTAAAATGTCTTTTGGAAAGTCAGGTTTTTTCCCAAGCTGTCACAAGCCATGAGAGTTCTCAGACTGAGTGTGCCGGAGTGCCGCAGTGAGTGCGCCACAGATCCACAGCTTTGCTGACAATGGCGTCCGTGTTGTCCTGAGGAATCTGCAAAAGACCAGGGCAAGGTGCCTGCTCAGAGCACTCCATTCAGACTGCTTTGTTTAAAATAAAGACTTTGAATTTCCAGTTCAGATTTTATCTCTTTATTAAAAAGAAAACAAAACTAGAATCCCATCTCCCTGTCCTGGCATCCCACCATCCCTCTGTCCTGCAGAAACCATATTACATCCAGGTTTTGGACAAACAGCTTGTATTTCCAAAATGCTGACAAGCAGGCAGGCACCTCGCACATCCCTGACACCAACATGGCTCACACTGCCTATCCATGACCACAAACTGTCTCACATAACTCACCTGGGTTACACTGGGATCCTACAGCCCTGCTGAGATGCCTCATTACTATTCAGGGTCAGGTTCATGATCCCATCCTCACATCAACAGAAAACACACATTGATTCTACAGATTTGCACTCAGGTAAGACATAAAAAAAAGGTGCCAGAAACCAGCCCTTCTAAGAAGCCTCCAGAAAAATTAACCTAACCTGACCTGCTCTTACTTTCACAGAAAAACCCTTTAGTATCACAAGAATTGTTAATTCTGTACAAACAGAGACAATACATACCCCAAGCCTAAAAATCACTTAATTCTATGGAAGCCTTAACTCCTGATAGAAAAAGGTATTATTCTCATTGCTGAGCATTCTCCCTTCACCTTGGTGCTGCTACACTGTTCTCAGTAATGTAATAATAACTTTTGGTACATCTGCAGCAGGCAAGCAATTCAGGCTGAAACAGTTATAAGCTATAAAAGGTAATGCAAAGCATAATTAGAGTACTTACATTTTCCAAAAACTGTGTGATCTTTTCTGCAGAATTCAGTGCTATTATCTTCATTTTAAAGGTTAATAATATCTCCACAGCAACAAACACAAGAATCTTGCAGGATCCACTTATAACTTTGTCCCAGACTCTACAAGAAAGTGAAAAGGAATAACTAAACATTATTGCAGTGTTTATTTGCTTATTTCTCTTCTAGAACAGCCTTTGTACAACCATCTCTATCCAGAATATTTTTCTGAACAACAGCAACATACTAAATTATTTGGGTCAAGATAAATAGAAGACATTTTATCAACTCCTCAATCTATACAGAGCAGAGGGATGGCAAGCAGTAATTGGAATGCACTGATATGGTGTGTTGCTGTTTAGAGATTGAACTGTTTACAAGCTCAAGTACAAAAAGTAAACCTTGGCTTAGTAGCCTGGACTGTAACAACTTCTCTACTGGACTACAGAGCTACCAGAGTGTGTGGTAAAGATGAGAATTTTTCCTAGTGCAAAAAAAAAAAAAAGAAATTGACTTCATTAGCATGCCTAATAACGCTACTTTTCAATCAGCTACGTTGCTAAAAATTCAAAGAGGTGTAATAGCAAACTACTACATCTCAAGCAGGTCATTACTGTATGAGATACAAATATGATCTATTAGCAGGATATAGTCCATGATGTTTAAATTAGGCACAAGGAACAACTATTAAATCTTCTAATCCATCCCACTGCACACAGATACTCTCAGAAATACCTAGGCACTCCAATCTCTCGTGTGAAATCATATCTGGACCTCCTTGGGCAGGTGTCCAAAGGCTTCAGCAACAGAACTTGGATGAATATTAAAATGGATCATCACTACCAAAACCTACTATTAGCCTGCAACAATTTGAAATCATCCTTCATCCAGCAGCTCTCTCTCAGGCCCAGCTCAAGAGTCTCAGGATAAAAGATTACACAAAACAGTGTGAAACCATCTGTCAGATGGCAGCTTTTATGGGCTCACATTATTTTTAGTTCTTCAATTTTAAAAGCTGTGTCAGAAAGAGTTTCTGAGGATTACAGTTCTTACTCCTTCTGGGCACTTGTTCAAAGTATTTCTCCTTCCAAATAAAAACATGGGGGAACAAAGACCACACACTCTCCTCCGTAATTTCTGAATATAGTAACACCAACTGAAAAACATGTTCTGCAGCCCATCTACAGATTTGGATCTATGGGTGTGCTCCTTCCAGGGACAACTCCATTTTTGTATGACCTCTCTTAGAAGAATTTGCCCTTCAGCCCAGAGTGCCAGGAGAGCACAACACAGGCATGACATGAACTCTGACAGCTGAACTGAAGTGTAGGATCACAATTTTACACAAGGAATTAAGAGGGGAGAGCCCAGTCAAGAGCAATTAAGGTGATGAAGGGAGAGGAAAGGTGAGAGAGCTTGGACTGCTCAGCTTGTAGAAGAGAGGGATCTGGGGAATCTCATCAATGTAAACTGGAAGAGAGAGAACAAAAAGGGTGGAGCCAGGCACTTTCCAATCATGCCCAGTGAAGGGATCTGAGGCAACAGGCACAAACTCAAACACAGGACTAGATTTTAACTTATAACAAAGAAGGGAGAAAAACAAATGTGTAGATCCTCAGGACTATTCTCAAAGTAGAAGGAAACAAAAAACCCCACAAGGACAGATGGGGGTGTGTGAAAAGCACAGCCAATTTCTTTCCCCTTTGCAATTTAGTTTTAATTCCCTGTTTTGCTATGATTTAACAATTAGTATAATCCCCACAGGTACAGGAACAACACACAATTCAAGATCAAAATCTTACTGCTTCATTTGTGGGTGAAGCATCCCAGGACAAATGATCACTGCAAATATTACTTTGCTGTTGAAGTCAGGTCTTGGAAGCTTTAAGCCAAGGTCACCATGAGAAAACTGAGACAACAGCTCTGTTCCACACTGTACAGGTCACTCCTATTTACTTCTACAGCATTCTCCTTCACAAACACATCTGTTTAGAACACAAGAAAAACTTCCCCATGTGTTCCATGTGCATCAGAACTGTAATTACGAGTGACAATTACAAAGACTAGCAGATCTCAAAAACAGAAAATAATTTTTAAAGTTCATATCAAAGCTCATGCTAATTTGAAAACAAACTTACTAATCCTATTATAAAATATCCACTCTTCTTTCATTATTTTGCTTCCAATTCTTCTGACTTCAGTCTCCATAATTACATTAGGTTACATGCTATGCTCAGAAAACACTCTATTGTTTTCCTGCATTATTTAGTCTGATTCCAGAACAAATGTTTTAACAATGACAAAACAGATGCAGTATCTAAATCACCAGTGTCTTTACAAATTTTGGAAGATGATGCACAGCAAAGTGAGTGAGATGTCAGCGCTAACCAGCTGTGTCTGCTGCAGTATTTTTCCTTAACATTTCCAACTATTGTTACACTCAGTACAACTCCACCAGTAACAGTAATCGGGAATGATTGTGCAACACTGTGATCAACAGTCAGCACCTTGTCTGTACCAGCAGCTCCAGGAACAACAACATTAACTGTCACAAGTGGAAAAAAACCACACCAGTTTCAAGGAAATATATTTTCTGATGATCGCATTCTAATACAGCAGTCTTTATACATCATGTATATACAGGTGTCCTGCTTTCACTTTTTTAGTAGCAATCATTTAAGGTCAACTTTACTGCAACTTTTTACCTGCTCTTTGATGCTCCTGGAGAGGGGGAAAGTATAAGGGAAGCATCATGCAACTGTGCCTACAGCCCTACACAGGAATGCAGAAAAAGAAATATATATTCTGAATGAAATTCACTATGTTTCGTGTGACTTTCATCCTCTGTAAAATACAACTGTTCAATTAACCACAACACTCTTGCAGGTGTTTCTTGAACAGCAAAGCAGTATTGACAACCACAAGCGAAAATAAAAAGAAATGGGAAGCTATAAAGGCAAAGAGCATGCCAAGGATTATGCAAATGAAACCATTTACTTTAACTGAGCCTCTTCTATAGACAAGATAGGACACTCTGTGTGCACCTGTGTGTGAAGGGATACCATTCTCCAGGCACTCTCTGAGGTTCCTGCAGCACTACAGTGCAGTAATACACAGGAGGCATCACAGCACTGCTGCTCTCTCTTTTTCTGATACATTACCATGAGCCTCACAGTTTTTCCCTACAATGCAGGGTAAACACACGCAACCTTACGTCCTGGTTCTGCTCCTCCAGCCATCCAAACAAGAGACATCTAAAAAGAACAAATGCTTTCTCCTCTGCCTGCACTTCTGGGTGTCCTTCCAGAGGTAACTGGGCATGGAGGGACATGATGAGGCTCACACAAATCTCACCCTGATCTATCATGATCTTGTGCCCATTCATTTGCAAACCTGGGAAGCAGCTCAGTGAGACAAAGGCAAACTGAATTAAGTTTCTCTGTAGTAGCAGCCCACGTGCACATTCTTATGCCCTCCTGCTCCACAGTAAATTTAAGGCATTTTCCATATTTCTGTTGTTTCTATTAACAAATTACTTACATTTTTACAACTAAATGTAATTTATGCTGGGCATGGAGATCACAGATGTAAAACTACAGAATTATGTTACATGAGGTAGTTCCAGTTTGAAAGTCATGAGATTTCAGGAGAATGTGTCAGAAAGAAATACTTTGCCACTAGCAAGTTGCCATAGACTAATAGCTAGCCAATGCCAAGCCTTCAGTGCAGAGTACAAACAACATTAGGCAGGGGCCTGATACATGAGTGGCAACATTAGGCCATAAAAAATGCCTCAATCACAATTACAACTGCAAAGCTGCACTGCTTGTGCTGGATCATCTGGGCTGACAGTGCCACATTAAACTGGGAGTCAAAGTGACATCTTTCCTGTTGAGATGAAGCCACAAACAGGACCCCAAGGTTTAAGAGCAGGGATCTCCAGCTGAGGGCCCTCATGGCACCACTGGAAAGCTTTCCACACATGGGCTTACCAAACAGATGAGCAAATATGCTGCTGCACAAATCAAACAGGGCAATGATGAGTATGAAAACAAAGGTGCGATCCAGTTCTCTGTCTCAGAAAGAAACAGACCTTTCTGTGTCTCTCAAACATCTGCTACAGGCTGGTTCATATTCCAGAAAGCACCCTGTTTATATTCCAGATGGGATACAGAGTCTTTGGAATGGTCTGCTCCTCCCTTTCACCAATGTGACACCTTTAAGAAGTTTGTTAAGAAGCTCATCACGTAATATGCCAAGTGTATTAGACACTGCATAAGCTCAAAGCAAAAGTTTCCACGTGAAAGCTGTCCGTATGTATTGTCCAAGCCCACTAAAATTAAACTGATACATAAATTTTACCCATGGTGTAACTTGAAGTGTGCCATAAAACAGTATTTATACTGAGTGGCAGTGCCTGTCAGGTACTGGTATTGTGCAACTTCACCTCACCATTACCAGGTATGCACAGCATGTACAAGTTTTGTACACCTTAGAGAAAACCAAACAAACAAAAAAAACAATGAATTTTAGATTTATCTGCTTGACAGAGAAGACTACAGTTCATAGAAAGTAAGCAGCCACTCTAAGAAATGCAGTGCTAAATCATAAGTGAAAATAAATCATAAAAGACTGTGCTCAGATAATCTCTCCCTTGACAAGAAAGTACGTAAAATTCACAGGAGAACTGGAGACCTTCAAACCTCAGCAGTTTCAACACTGACATCTGGATGCATTTCAGATAAGCACTGGGGCTTCTAGATCCTAATCCAAACTGAATCTCCAAGCATTAATTAAGTTCATCTGTCACACACTACCCATGAAGTATGTTATTTCCTCAGCGAATAAGGCCATTATGATTACAACTGAATAATTCACAAACCTAAGCTGCCAAAAAAAAGTGCACTTTCATCATGTTCCCACAAGAACTGTAGGGATGAGGGATTGTTCTGCGTCAGAAATACCAACACTGAAATATGTTTTTATTCCAGAGTGATAGAAAAAGCCAGTACTTTAACCTTTTCCAGGGGAAAAAAAGTATTAAAAATTTTCAGGTAATCAAAATATTCTATTTCAGTAAGGTAAAACAGCATATGGAAATGTTGAAGATGCATACTGATTAGACAAAATATTTCATGTAAATAAAACTAATTCAAAATGATAGACATTTGAAGCCAAATATTCTTGCTAGATGAAATACAAAATCAAAATTCTTCATCTAGATTTCTCCTTTTACACCATCAGGATGACAAAGCTCCATAAAAGCTTCCATTTTCAACAGAAATGTAAACAAAAACCCTTCATCTTGCGAGAGCAAATCTGCTCTGATAAAATTCCTCCCTCAGCTCTTGTCCACAGCCATAAGATCCAGTAGCAACACTGAATCACATGAGCTCTAAACTTAAGAAACACCCTATACTATGCATGCTTACATAATTTCTGCAGTCACAGAAGTAGTAAAAGCTTTCCATCACCACATCACACAATCACTAAGCAGACAAGACTATTTTGGAGACTTATAGGTGCTCGATGAGAAGAACTTGCCATGTAACAATAACTGTGTTGCACCTAAAGGTCTCAATCCTTCACAAAATGTTTTTTTCCCTCCTCCTCCAACATTATCCTTGAGAATAATAAAACCTACAGAACCCCAAAGACCATGGTCCAACAAGAGCAGAAAGCGTGATTTCAAATCTTACAGCTTGTTCCCTAAAATCTTCTTATTCTTATAAGGGTAAATAAAACATTGTTAAGAACAGCCACTTTCCACTTTCCACCACAGAACATGAAGTACCAGATAAACAAACACTGCATCCACTATTCAGATTATTACCAACTTTACCACCATAAAAGCATTTTCTACAAAGCAATTTACAAAGCACTGTTTCCATGCTAGGTTCCTATTCTAGCCACTGAAGTCCTGCGATTACCTCGAAGTAAAGTTTCTCTTGAACATGGTTACTTCACAAAGTTTTTAGACAGATGCAAATGACACCATTGTTTTCTCTGTGCCACATCCTGTTCAGCTATCAGCAACTCTTGTTAATGCAGAAAGATGTTTCTCTACATTGAGCTTGAATTTCCTGCTTTCCAAGAGTTCTCAGGCAGCAGAATTAGAGAAATCATACAAGCTTCATTTCAAAAGCCCTTCAGTGAAGTGTCACACACTAGAATTTTTCCCTTTTAAAAGCTCAAAAACCTATTTGTAACTGCAGAATCCTGATATAATCCACAATTTCATTAACTTTGTAATATTCAACTTGCCCTAGTACTTTTTAAAATAAAATTCTGTCATGGTTTAACCCCAGCCAGCAACTGAGCAGCAGACAGCCACTCATTTACTACCTCCACCAGTGGGATGGGGGAAAAATTGGAAGGGTAGAAGTAAGAAACAAATTTGTGGGTGGAGAAAAAAGTTTCATAATTAAAAAGAAGTAATAATTTCCAAAAAAACTGTAAGGAAGAGAAGAAAAGCATAACAAAGAACGAAAAATAAAACCTGAGATAAGTGATGCCACTGAGAACAGTTGCCCACCACCCTGACTGATGGCCAGCGAGTCCCCAGGCAAATGCTCCCACCTGCCAAGCTCCTCCTCAGCTTAACTGCTGAGCATGACTCCACATGGAAAGGGATATTCCTTGGGTCAGCTGGAGTCAGCTGCCCTGGCTGTGTCCCCTCCCAGCCATGTTCTTGTGCACCCCCAGCCTCTTTGCTCGTGAGGAGCAGAATGATGCAGTGTAAGCACTGCTCTGCAGGAACTAAACTCTATCCCAGCCAAAACCCATACACATTCCCAAAATCTTTTTCATCTAACACTAATGCAATATTACAATCACTCCCTAAGCAAAGACTTTTGTCAAAAAGCCCAAAAACTGACTACAATTCAGCTGTGTAACACTGACAGAGGGTTTGGAGTTCTGCATCCTAGAAGGCACTAATTGTCCAACAGAATCAGCTGGTATACTTAGCTCCATTCTTTTTATTTTCAGTAGGTGAAACAATCACACAGATATTGATTATCTTGCATCAATAACAAGGGGAATTAAATCCAATTTTATAATTTCCAAGTTAGCAATAAAGCTAACACCATAATCTTACAGATAAAGTATGGAAAGTTCTTTGCCTGCTAGTGATGACAGAAAGCTGAAATGACTATGCAGTTACACACAGAAAGAAAAAGAACTTGCCTCTGTAAACTGGACTCAGGTAAACATCCTGCAAAACACTTTTTAAACCAAAGATCATAGGGGAGTTTGCTCATTGCAGAACATGCCTTCAGATGCATCAGTAGTCTGTTATCTTCAATGTTCAAATACTGCTCCAGAATTTTTGGCTGAGAAATGATTAGAAAATTTTAGGTAACTCACATCAGAATATCTTAATAGTTAATGCACACTGTAAGACAAGCACTGTCTTAACAATTCAATTAATGTAATGGATCAATGTAACACATTAAAATAATATACTTTCATTGTTTTAGTTGTTACAAAATACAGATGTTACCAACTTTTGCAATCAACTAATTATGTATTTAACCAAAAAACAACCTCAGCTTCCTGAAATTGCTGACCACTAGCAGAACTTCCAAGATATGCAGTATTCCCTAGTGCAAGGATGTTCTTCAGAGCTTCAAGCAATGCAGAGATTAAATGTGCACTAATTACTGCTACCTTCACAAGTAAAATCAAGTTTCATTCACCTCAAACCTAATCACCTTAGCACACATCAAAAATATCTACGCACAATGCAGCAAAACCCAAAAAATCAATTTTGAGAGCAAATCCCTGTGCAACCCATTAAAAGCTGGACATTGATTTATTGTTTAAAAACCCTAAGTATTTAAGGCATAAACATGTGGATAATTTTTTCAGCTTGTTTAAATTTTAATGTAACACAATACACACTTTCATAAATTCTTGACTACCTTTATGTTTTGTCATAGTTAGGCAAACTGTTAAGGACTTCAACTGTCAAAGGCAGAAAACACTTCCTTTGCCAATATTCTCACCTACTGAGTCTTGGCACATTGACTGTGTTACAAAAAAAAAATTAGGGAGGGAGACACTTTGCACACTTTACGTCACATTGTATGAACACACACTTTGAAAATATTCTTTTCTTCTTTGAACTGGTATAGTTGAATGCATCACACACAGAAACAGGAGGTAGGTTTAAAAATTATTTCTTAGATCCAAAAGAACTAACAAGGGCAGGCATAATTTTCCACAGAAAATTTCTATTCAGCAATTGCTGGTGCACATGTACTCGATATTTTTACTTTTTAGAATATTGTTAACTAAAAGCTCCTTTTAGTTAACAATATTCTAAATGGCTTTTTGATGAATTACAAGAACTTTCATCATTTTGGTAAGTACACATTAAAATCAAATTTTCATTTTATAAATCAGGAAGACAGAAATTCAAAATTAATATTCTGTGATAGTGTTTAAATTGTCAGTGCTACAAAAATCTACTCCACTTTTTATTATAACTTGATCTACAACATACTGTTTTTCTGAAGATGGAGTACTCTGCTCCACTTATAAAGCAAAATTGTGCTTTGTCTATCATCCAATGAGCAGCATGTGAATGCCAGAGATGCAGCCTAAAAAGTAGCAGACATACATCAAGATGTTCTTCACTTTTGACATTTTAATTGTTCAAAGAAAAATTTTAAGTGACCAATTTGTGAGAAATATAATTCAACTGGATACAATGTAACCTTTAGAGAAAAAAGTTAATTGAAAATTACCACATACCAAACAAAACCTATTTCTAATGTTACATTAATCAGGGCAGCACAATCACAATGCAAAAAAGCACTCCTCCCCTATTTTCAAAGTAGCTGGTGGAACAGAATCCAAGGGTGTCAGTTCTGATTCTCCAGTTGTCTCCCTGTGTTAATGCTTTGTATGACTGCTTCTCCTTGCAAAAAGAAAAAAAAAATTCCTTTTTCCTCACCAGCTGTTGTAATGAATCTTTGTGCTTGCTGTTCAGCTGATTCACAAAACAACTGACAAGCCAATAGCATTCTATAGGATCCTCTACCATTTCCTCCATTGCTTTAGCAATAGCAAGAAACACTTCATCTTCAGGTTCCTGAAAAACAAAGCAAAAAAAGTGATCTACAGAGAAACACTGGACTATTCTGATTTAAATTATTCTTATATTCCTTTTCTCTGCTATTCAGGGAAAAAACCAGAAATCAACATACACAAAAAGCTGTTCTGATGTTCCTAAACAAGACATCGGGCAGCAGCTGCACGATGATGACAGGTATCTATTAAAACAGAGCAAGAAAGACTTGTCTTGCTTTTAAAATCAAAACACGCTTCAGTGTATAGTCCTAAATACTACGGGGTTTATGTCTCTGCCACACAGACTGCTCCAATACACACACATCCTTACTTGAACTCTCTGCATTCAAAAGCACAAAACACTCAGCAGACTTCCGTTTGTTACTCAAACATTTCAAAATATTTAGATCAATCTGACATCTCTTTATCTCCCTCTGCCTCTACAATAAAACACCTGCATTACCATCAAGAGCAACCTCTCATAAGTTTAAGGGGACAGTGACTGCACTGAAAAGAGAACAAATGCTTTCTGCAGCAGCAAAACAAACCTGAGTTACAGGACTAATGACTGAGGCTCTGCTAAACATCATCACTATGAAACCTCACCACAGTCCTGACAGCAACTCTGGGATGCACTGACAAAACGCTTCCTCAGAAGACAATACTGCTCTAGAAGGGAGCAATTTTCAGCCCACTGCATCACATGCCAAAATCAAGGAAATTTCTTTACTGGAAATTTGCAGGATAGGATGGCCAAATTCCTAGGAAATAGTAAGGGTATGAAAACATTCCCTCCTCAGACAAGAGGATGCTGCAGGTAATCCTCCCGGTTTTAAATATTACTGAATTTTCCATATTAACTTGAACCTTTTTTTTCATTTTCAACTTTTCTTTAAGTACTTATGTCAAAATTTGTGATTATAGATGAAAAATTACAAATTAAGCTGGGCTAGAGTGAATACAGATAAATTAACTACGAAATCCACTTAGAAAGCTCTGTGGCTCCTTTCCTCATCTCCTATTTCATGGAGAAAAGAAAGAACCACACATTGTTTTTATCATCACATTACTAATTCACCATCACAACACAGCCTTGTTTAACCATTTGGGTGTACACTGTGAACAGCAGAGTATGTGCATTACCTGACAGAAGCCCAGGTCAGTTGAGACTAAGAAAAAAAAGGAGGACCATACACTGAAGTCTAGATTTAAAAACAAATAATTTAAGTATTTGTTGCAACTTGTATTAAATCACTGTTTGTACAGGCTCTGAATTACCCTTGTTTCAGGAACGTAAGAACCTATGAGCTACAATGAGGTGATGTCATTTTCATTTCAGTGCTATAAAGAAACTGAAGTGCCCTGGAGTACAAAAGGCTTGAAACCTAGCAGGAAAAATGCACAAAAGAGATTTTAAGGCATAAAATCTTACATAAGTACTTAGGGGAAGGAAAAGAGAAAAGCACTTTTACTAAAATTCTTTATTTTATACCAGTACTTCTCTGTTTTCCATTCACCTTACTTGGTCTATCTACAAGCATTTCTGGGGTGACCTGCAGTTCAGTTTCTCACTGGTTTATAGTTTCAAGTTCAATAAAGTACTGTATTTAAAAGACTGTTAAAATCACCACTGACCAAGGGAAAAGCTACATTTCGAGGCAGTTTTCCTGATTCCAGTTGATGTATGCGGAGGAAAACATCAACCTGTGGGGTAGAATCATTAATAAAGCGAATCACACGGAGAGCATGGTGAATATCCCAGTACTGCTCCTTCCGGTACTTCATCACCAAAGCATGAGATTCGTGGTGAGGAGGAATAATTCCTAAAAAAAAATTAAATTAAATTTTAAAAATTAAAGAAAAAAAATATAAGCAATTATAAGGAGGAATCCTACTTTTTATATATCTAGTTTTCAGTACAGTATTAGTTGTATATTTGTGCCCAGCTTCCATTTATTTTGAAAACAAAGTCACTGTAGAATGATTTTTATATACATTAGCTGTTCATTTTCTCAAATTCTACACTTTGTCTGATATGACAGTGAATATATACATGCAACTAACTAATGCAAAGATACTGTTCACTGCAGCAATAATTACTTTACTGACAAAAAAGTCTTTACTCATTGTACCAGAGATTAATTCTCCCTAAAATGACATTCAAAAACCAAAATCAATCAGTTGAATCAATTAAAGATTAGAACTTAAAATGCCACATAATCACTTGTAAAGTACTATTTGTTATTTTCTTAGCAGAACACAAATATCTTTTCTAGTTTTCTGGGAGAAAAAAAAAATTTAAGAAGTATCTAAGTAAAAAGGCAAAGAAAATTACACAGCATCTCCAGCAGAGATACTTACCAGTTCACTCAGTCCTTCCCCCTACTAAGTCTTGCTATGCACTGATGTTCACAACAAAACTGTCACAGTCTTCAACAGAAATAAAAACATACATACACCTAGGCAAAAAATGCCATTTCCCTATCACTAGTGGAGCAGAATTTTTCCCAGTGTAGAAACCCATGAGAACAAAGTATTCTTCTAAAGTCAGTTCTGAAACAAGCTACCTGCTCCTTTTACCTCTCATTTAAAGAAAAGAAATATTCCTGCCAACTGTTACACCATGAAATGGCTGGGTTGAGGAACAAGCACATCAGACAGAAAATTATCTTTTCTTTTCCAGCTGCAAACCTGTCTGCATTTCAAAAGCTGGAAGAAAGCAAGACATTTTTCACAATATGCCAAAAGAGTCAACATCATAACTGTATGTACATACTGCCAACTGCTCTCCTCAAACACAGAGAACAACCTTAGGCAGGCAAAACTGACACAACAGAGGGGTGCCTGGAAACCATCGTGAGTCATCCTCGAACAGGAAGGTAACAGAGGCACTGCTGACACACCATGTCACCTGGGACATCAACAAGCCTTGGCACATGTCTGAGAGGGTTTTGTTGACAGGACACACTCCCTTTTCTTAAATTATTAACATTATTTAGAAGTCACATAACATCTCCCACCAGAAATGGACTGGGCTGTGGTTCCAGCCATTTAGGGGGAGATATTTTGCACTGTCCTTCTCAATACCAGCTTTTCTAACTACTGCTAACACTGAAGTGCAGGAAAGTCCCTGAACCTGTTCACCCAAAGCATGTCACAGAATGACAGTACAAATACTTGAAATCAGAATATTGCGAGTTTGAAGGGACCCACAAAGACCACTGAGTCCCTCTCCTGGCCTTTCACAAGACTACTCCAAAAAATCACACTGCCTGAGAGCAGAGCTCACTTCTTGAACTCTGTCAGGCTTGGTGCCCACTTCCCTGGGGAGCCTGCTCCAGTGCCAAACCGCCCCTTATTCTGATATCCAACCCAAACCTCCCCTGAAACAACTTCATGCTGTGAAATGAATCACTCTGGGTTTAAAATACAAAATACTTTTTAGAACCAGTACAATTCTCCATGCAGTTGATTCAGAAGGTGTTTTGTGTTATCATATGATTCACAGATCTTTAATCTAAAACAGCCCAAGACCTGGCTCTGCAGTGAGCCACAATTTTGCAGACATATTTTGCTATTATAATGCTGGCTGAAGGATTCTGTACTGAGTTGCTTGTTCAAAACTCCCATGCTGTATTTCCCACTACTAATATTTTAAAGGATGCTGACTACTGCCCAGAATACAATAATATTGTTAATGGCAGAGCCTTTTATCAAGTAGGACTACTCTGTAAGTTCAACACCAAGAACTTCAAGCTTTGTAGTTAGATCTTGCCCCTTCTGTGCACTGTTCATTTACTACTTTTGCCAAAAAAAAACAGGAATAAAAATTATATTCCACATAATCAGGAATATGAAGCGAAAACTTTCAAAATGTAAAACACTGGAAGGGGAAAAAATGAATTTAAAAATTAAGATTTTTTTAAACCACTCCTGTCTCCAAGTGGACATTATCTCACGTCTAGTCAATGAATGTACTTGACCAGTGCAAAGCCATTAGTACTTCTGAATTAGTCACCTGACTAGTGCACTTCTAGAAAAATATAATCTATCTATGGTTTTTACAGTTTCTGGGGATACCATTAACTTGTCTTCAGCCTTGTATCTTCTTCAATGGCAAATATAATTCAAAGCCAGCAGCAAAACCATAAGAAACCAATATTCTGCAGAACATGAAGCTTCTCTTTAGAATAAACATGTATTCCAAGCTTCACCCAGTTTAAAATGAATCACAATTTTACTTTAACTTCATTATCTGTTATTTCAGGAGCACAACTGAATATCTTATCAGATATAAGTAACTTCTTATAATCCACATTTCAAATTCATTTCATAAATGTACTTGGATAGTGTTATAAAGTTAAATACAGAAACATACTCTCCTAGGCACATTTCAGCAAAGTTCTCAAAAACTTGTTTTATAATTGCCATTGGGCATCCAAGGTGGATACAAAAGTAGGCTAAATATGCATCAGTAGGCAAGGTAATACAGAATAATCCTGTCATTACTTCTTCAAAGACAAAAAAAAAAAAAGAAAACATTGCATCTTCCTACATTCTATATTCCATGTTATACAGATACATATAGAATATACATTCTATATTCCATTCATACCTAGAAGCACTTTCCACACCAGTATACGATACATGGATGGAAGAGGAAACCTTTGACTAAATGTGCAAAGCTTCTCAATATCTGTAAAGAAATTAAAAGAAAAAAATTTCAGGACAAATTTAAATATGGTTATAAATAGGTTTGCATCTCTGACCCAGCTAAGTATGACAAACTTTAGTTGCAGATTGAAATTCCCTATTTGACCACATATTATCAACAAATGCTTTCACTGCTTTCACATTGGCCTAACTTACAGTAAAACTACTCCAGGTTTCATAAGGAGGAGACTGGACCATTTTTATAGGCATTTTGTAAAGCATGTCACTGTCAAAATAATTAAGGCCTTTTTTAAAGGGACAACATTTATCTTTCTGTTCTGCCAGAGATGTGGCATCTCTGGGACCAACAGCAATAACATCTTCATTGCTTTGAAGTTAGATGGAATTGACAGCATGAGATGATGCATTCTCAGATTAAAATTGCTTTCCCTAAAAATCTTTAAGTTTCTTGGGCACAGAGAATGAAAGAAGGAAAAAAGAAGAAACAAACAAGGTCACAAATCTTTAAAAGTTTTAAAAATCAGATTTTCAGGTCTTTGAAAATCAAAGGTCAGCTAGCAATGACTGAGGAATTATTGGTGAAAGATGCAAAACTGAAAAAAGTATTAAGCACAGCAGGTAGGCATTATCTATTACTCCCTCCCCAGCCCCTAATCACCAAGAAATAGAGCAAACAGTGAAATCAACTTGCCCAAACGATCATCCTTCAGCAGAATTTCCAGCGACTTCTTTTCTTCAACTCCACGAAATCCCACCTTTTCATAATACACTGAACGGAAGTTTCTCTGAGAGTCATCAGCCATGGCTGATTCCTCCTGAAGAAACAATGAATTCCACTGAAGACTTACAAACATACATTCCCATTGCTTGAAGGTCAAGTAATTTTGCACACTGATATAAATTTACTGCCTACATCTCTATAGTATTAATAAACCCTACAGAATATTAAATCTTCCAAGATGCTTTTTGTCACATACTTACATATGTCACATACTTACACATATTTACATAAACAATTATAAACGTAATTTATTCTAAACAAGATCTAAAGATGCCAACTTTACAAACAAAATTAAGGGATTTTTTAAAATTATCCGCATAGTGTATTATGCTAAATTCCAAAAAGTTTTTTAAAAAACTGCTGGAGAAAGACTTAAAATATTTTATGCCATGCCCTGTACTTCAAAACCAACATTAAAAAGTACAGTTACAAGTCTGACAAAATTTTGAATACAAAACCCCTACTCAATAGAACTATTGCCCACATAAGTAAAATTAGGTTTCTTACTCACCAGCCAAGGTAATCAGAAGCAAGGACAAGCCAGAGTTGGCCTCAGTGGCACAGAGGGGACAGGGAAGAATAAGGCTGGGTGTGTAAGTTTCTTCTTAAGTTGCAGATACGAATTAAATGCTCATGTTGTTACCAGCTGCTGTAACAGCCACAGCCTTGAGCTTGTTATTCCAGCACTAAAATCAAACAAATGTCTCATTTGTTTCCCCTGTAGTGGAAACAAAGGTAAATTTCAGTGAATGTTCCGTGTATCAGAACAACTGTAAATGACATTTCAATTCAGCTCAACCCTCTAACTATCAATTCTCTCTCCTCTGCAGGCTTGCAAACATGAGAAAGTTCTGCCTCCTAACTCCAAGGACTAAGAACAATCTTAACGTTTACATCCAGTGACAGCAGCAATACTTCAAGAAAAATAATTTATTTTGACTAAAGAGCAGTGAATGATGTATTGAGAAGCTTTTGTAGTTAAATTCTTCTTTTCCTTGCAGAACCAAAGTACACATCAGGAGCAAAGCACTTACAGATATAAACAAAGGCCACAGTTTTATAGAGAGTGCACACATTTAAATTTGTATATCCAGAAGGCCTATTTATGTTTCAAACTGTGCCTGGTTTTAGTGCTTTGCAGGATCAGGGCCAAGACCAAACAGCAAAATACAAACTAGCAAATGACTGAATTAGTGCTGAGATAGGCCAAATATTATTTTAAAATCAGAGAAAAAAGAAATAAATATTACTTGCAACACATTCCAGTCCTGCACTATCCTTAAGAAAATGCCTGTGATATTCATGTATGGTGCATTTAAGGGTCCGCTGATTAGAGTGCCCACTGTTTACATTACAGCCATGTCTAAAAGCAGACTTCAGATATGACAGACAGTCAACTACTTTTGAAAATTTTCAGATTTTCATTTACATTTTCAAATTCTTAAAAGCTGAATTTATTGTAGTGTTATTTAGAGAAATAGCTAAAAAAAAAAAAACAAAACACCGAAAACAAAAACAAAACACATCTAGCCCATACCACTCGTGGAAAAATGAAAAGAAAGACACAGAACTTTGATAAATAAGGGCAGGACCTATTAGCCAGAAATACCATTTTAATAATTTTAAACTAGCACTATAACAGCAGTACATTTTATTTATTCAGTGGTAAAAGGAGGAAGATAGTTTGTTTCCTCCCTCACAACTTAGGATTTGTAATTCCATGTTCTACAAATGACCAGTATTCCAATCTTTACACCTGTCTTCAATAAACTGGAAAAAGAAAGGGGGAAAACAAATCCTTAGCCAGCTCATTAGAAGTGTGCTGTACAGAAGTGTGCAATTAACTCGTCCTATCCTCAATTACAGCATTTTCGAGCTCAACAGTGGCTTTCCCGGTATCATTAAGTGTCACTCCTGGGGGGCAGCAGCGCCGCACAGGCCCGGGCTGCGGAGCCACCGCGCTCTGCCCCCAACCGAGCACTCTTCCCTCGCAGGCCCTGCCGGAGGCTCCCCCCACCCGGCCGTACCTCGGGGCTCAATTCCCGGCCTCCGTCACAGTCCTAGAGGAAAACAAGGGCACATTTGGGCACGGGATGAATGCGCCCCGGGAATTCGGGCCGCGCCGGCCTCCCCCCGCCGCCCCCCGGCACCTCGGGCAGGCGGGCGCGGCCCGAGCGCGGCACGGCTGCGGCGCATGCGCGGGCCCGTCCCGCCCCGGCGGCGGGCGGAGCGCCGGGGTGCCGTGATGCGGACGCTCCGGGGTTGCGGTTTCTGCTGTGGGCGTCCCGCAGCCTCTCGGGGTCACTCGGTTCATCCTGTACCCCGCCTGTGGTCCCCGCCACCCCTCAGCTCCGTCCCTCTGCCCTCAGAGGGCATCCGTCCCTCAGAGCCGGCTGCCCGCCTGGCGCGGGTGCGCTGAGGGCTGCACCGCGTTGTTTGCTGTAATGATGGTTTTTGCCCCATCCGCGGTGACTCCAAGGACGCGTTACTTAGAGACACCTCTGGCAAGCGAAGTGCATTTCGCAAAACCGAGATTTACTAAGCGCTTGTGATCAAAGTGCTAAATATCCCGCCCCTCAGAACAGTTAAAGGACCTACGTCTCGCTGCTGAAAGTCTCAAAAATCAACCTGTGTAGCCAAAACTAGGGGACATCAAACTAGTAGTGTGATTTTGATTCAGGGTTAGGGTGCTTCTGTAGTTGTTGGTGATGTTTATGTGTGGGACCTTGCCAGCCCCCTCTGTGCTATTGCAAACACTGGACAGCTGCTCGCCCCAGGAATGGAGTTTCCAGCTCGGAGCCCCTTTCCAGGAGCAGAAACTTGAACGAGGCCATCGAGTGCGTGAGTTAGCTGCAGCAAGATGTTGAAGTGCTAGAATCACAGAGTCAATTAGGTTGGAAAAGACCTTTGAGATCATCAAGTCCAACCTTTGACCAAACACCACCTTGTCAGCTTACCAGAGTGCCACGTTCAGCCTTTCCTTAAACACTTCCAGGGACAGTGACTCCACCACCTCTCTGGGCAGCTCATTCCAATGTTTAGACACCCTTTCGGTGAAGAAATTCTTCTTTACGTCCAACCTGAAACTCGGGAGAGGAGGCTGACCCCCTTCTAGGAGTCCACAGCCTCCTTGCAGGCAGTTGTAGAGAGCAATCAGGTCCCTCCTGAGCCTCCGTTTCTCCAGGCTCAACACCCCCAGATCTCTCAGCTGCTCCTGACAGGACTTGTGCCTTCCCCAGCTTCGTTGCCCTTCTCTGGACCTGTTCCAGCACCTCAGCATTATTCTTGAATTGAGATCCCAGGACTGAGCACAGCACAAGAGTTGTGGCCTCCCCAGTGCCAGAGAGAGAAGACAAGGCAGCTGCTGAGGTTATGGGGCCTATTTCCAAATGCACAGGATATCCCATTATTTTAATCTTGCCTCACACTTTCAAAGTAGCCATGGAGAAAGCACACTCTTGCAGAATGGGCAAGGCTTTTGTCAAACCCAGCTCACGAAGGAGTATGTTTTTTGTTGGGTGTGTACAAATCCTAGCAAATCTTGGAATAATTCCTTTTAGCAGCAGATGGCAGGCTGGTTTCATTTTTGGTCACTTGGGGCTGCCTCAACTCAAATGCATCTTTTATCGATAGATGGCACCTGTCTCGGGATGAGAGCTGTTCGGTGGTGTTGGGAGCTGACCAGTATCACACGGTTCAGGAAACAACTACCGAAATTAAATCTCGTGTAATTTTCAATCATGCATTCGTGCCCTTGTCAAGACTTATTACATAGCTATAGTGGTGCTCTGAAGAAGCCTGAAGCTAACACAATTTATTTTAGCACCAATTTATAGTACAGGAGATCCAGAATGTTAACAGAATGGTATGCCATTGCTAAAAGTGCCTAAACAAAATTAGGTTCTGAAAGATTTAGCTGCATAAAAATACAGCATAAAATCAACACCTGTTCTGAAAAACAATAAAATGAATGTTCTTCCCCATATATAAAGTTTCTAAACCCCATATATAGAAAGCTTCTTATACACAGAGATTTTCTTAATGGTGCTTGTTTCTAACATAATAGGTTATAGTGAGATCAGCTGTAAATATTACATAAATATTTAGGTCAGTGGGAAACAAATTAAAGAATTTAATTTGAGATTTTTCAAAATGCAAATGAAATTAAAAGCATAGGTTGAGCAAGAGTAGGTTGACTACAACAATTATTATGTGGTGAAACAGCAAACCAAAGATGACTAACCCATTTTTTTACTTGGACTTTCCTACTCTAACAGCCTTTTTATCTTTTAACTGCCCTTCTACATCCACCTGCACTTGCCAAGTGAGTCTATATGCTGTAACTCAGTGTTGTAAAACACACAAGTGACTCATGACTTAAATATTTAATTTAAAACATTTTATATTTTCATAAACTGAATAATAACCTTATTTTCCCTTGTCTAGGGACATAAAGTATCTTCAGTCCTATTGACAGAATCTCTTTCTTGCCACTGAAAATGCAAGCAGAATTTAATCATTTATAGCTGCTAGTGTCAGTCAGCCAAGTGGAGGACTGTGCCTATAATAAAATTGATTAATACATCATTAATCAATAATACATAACTAGGCATTTATCCAAACCATGATAACCTGAACATTTAATTCTTTTAAACTGTAATAACATCAGAAAAGGTAGCACACATAACAGATAAAAGGGAAGCAGGTTTGGAACTGGTTTGGGATTATCTGAGACAGCAGAGCCGAATGAATTAGTACCCTGTTAGCATACTGCATCTCTTGCTTTTATCTGTGACTATGAGTATCACTGTGCTTGCATTTTGTACTGATATCTTTATATTGCTCAAGTGAATTACTCACTGACATAAAGGGTCACAGGAGAAGGAAGCCAAACAGGCATTGTTAACGTATTTTATTGCAAAATATGAACTGTGTTGTGCCTGTGTTTCTTCATGAATGCTTTTGCTGTTAAAGCTGCACTAATTTTCTGTGAACCATGTGCTGCTCTTGGAAAGTCAGTTCAGTCTGTCCTGTGTGACTGGCCTATTAGTGGATCAGAATTACAAATCAGAAGCATGCCTTGTTATGTGAATTTCTCAAAAAAAGGGGAAAATGCAAAGCAATGAAATGTCAATTTCACACAGCATGGAGGTCCATATTTGTATGGCATTATGACACAAGGATGCAACGTACAGAGAATAAGTGAAGTTTTCATGTGGGTTTCATTTGCTCTAAACTGATGGAAGATGTACTTAAAAAAAAAAAAGACACTTGTCTGATAATATCTTCACAGTGTATCAGATTCAGTGATTCCAGCTTGCTAATGCACCATCCCTTGTTCCTGTCATAATAGGAAATGATTGATGCTCAGGAAAGAAGTAACAAGTTGGGTCATATCAGCTTTTTCTAAGATATCATCTCATGTTTTCTCAGAAGCATGAATATTTCCAGATGGAGAGTGGGGCTGTGTTAATGGAAAGGACAATTTACTTATACAATCACATAACCTTTTCATTATGAAGATCAGCAGATGTGAAAAAGCTTGGCCCCATTTCCTGGCCAAAACAGCATCACCCTGCTGTTTACATTCTACCTGAGAGAAGAATGCAAATGTTGGCTCTATTAATGTTCACAACTTAATTCCTTTTTGAAGTCAGATGGAAAAAATATAACACTCCAAGGTAAAAAAAATATAAAGCTGTTTAGCATCAAAGGGGAATTCAGGCTTTCATTTTGGCATGGAGGCACAACAGGCAAGTCTGTCTCTGAGCAGACCAAACACTGTCCCTGTAATCATGAGCAGGCATCCCCACATGACAGCAAGGAAAAGGCTTACGGGGCTGAAAATAGCAAGAGGAGTGGCTGAACTTGGAAATCTGAGTTCAAATGTGTCCTACTTCTGTGTTTTCTCATCCTGCTAAAAAAAGAGTGTTCTTCAGAGGTGACATGGTTTTGTCTGCAAAGATATGCAGAAACTGCAAGACAATTAGGAAGGAAATAACCAACTGCTGTTGCTTGCTCCAAATGTAAAGGGTTTTTTTAGGATTATGTTAGAGATTTTTTTTTTAGGATGATGTCTTCTGGATTCTAGTCATAACTTTGATTTGTTGTGTAACATCAGCTGTGTCCTAATTATTTTTCTACCAACCTGATTAGTAGCTGTGTTAAGATTGACATTTTTGTCTGAAAAAGGCTTGCAAGTTTTTAAATAGCACCAAACACATGCTTTGTGCTGTCACTGAGCATGGCACATTTGGGGCACTACACAGTAACTAATAAACAGTTTCAAATAACATCATCTTGGGTTTGTTACTCTTTCATTGAGAACGGACAATGAAGTAGGTGACAATGAGACAAAGGTTGGTCAGTTTAAAGACAGTGGGAAAATTAAATAAGACATCTTGAGCAGCCTAATCAAGAGTTGTGGTGTTTGGATGAGGTATAGTTATTATGATCCCTATATATGATTAGAGGCAAGGCAAAATGCAAAACCAATAGGAATGGGTTTCAGTCTTTGCAATTTTTCTCTTTGTACCAAAGCCACAAATGTGCCCAGAAGCCAATTCAAGGTCACAAGCTGCATGTGGTAATTAGACTCTGTTTTCCTCACTTAACCAAGTATCCCTGATTACAGTGGATGCCCATCCCTGAAAACACTGATTGTCAGGTTGGATGGGGCACTGAATTAGCTGATCTAGTTGGAGGTGTCCCTGCTCTTTGTGGGAGAATTGGTCTAGATGAGCTTTACAGCCCTTCCAACCCAAACTATTTTATGATTAAGCTTTGCACCCCATTCCTACCCTCCCTAGCCACAACCTGTGCTGAGAACAGCACCCAAGTAGCTGCCGGCACGTTTGGCCACGGAAACGAATTCCTAGCTCCACTCTGCTGCCTTGGCTCAAAGGCAGGAGCCCAACCCAGCAGTTTCACTGGGACCACTGATGGAAGGGTGAAAAGATTGGATCCAACCAAATCCAACCCAGCAGACACAGCACTTGTACCTCCAAAGAATAATTTGTCACTTAATCGTTCTCTTTCAGGAGGCCTGCCTGCCCAGGGGGAGGGCAGCCCTGTGCACAAGCTGGCTTTTGATCTCAGTGGAGCTCAGAGAGCTTTGCTAGAGCATTCATAAAGGATTGAGCAGCAACTAATTAATGACTCGAAATTTT